TACGTATGTATATTTATGTGTTATGGAGAATAATATTGAACTATACAGCTATTTATGGATATATTTTTTAAATTTAACTATTTACAGCACGACCTCTACACATCAGCTGTCAAATAATTTAGTGCATTGCTTTATCGCCACCATTATAAAATATCTTTAAACAGCCAAGTTGTTATGTTGTTTTTTTTTTTAATTTTTTTTTATAATATATAAATGAATTTAGTAATTCATTTTTGATATTTCACAATCTTTGAATTGTATTTGTACAATTTAATCCCTTTTTTGAGTCCTTAGGAATGTCAGTTATGTACAATTTCTTTATTCCATGTAGAAGTACTGAGACGATTCGTTTTTTTTTCAGATTTTATTATTTTTTATTTAAAATCTTACGTTGTTTGAATAAATAATGACTTATTAGTTACTTTATTTATTGGAACAGTGAATGTAATTAAAAGTGCAAATAACCTAGCCATTAATCTAGATTAAAATTAATTTAATTTACTTAGTTTTTATTTAATAACTCAATCAGCGAATAAAATCAGTCACATCTATTTAAGTTTCGGTGGGTAATTTTGAATTTGAATACAAAAATTTGGTGCATAATTGTGTAAAAAAAATTGAGATTTATTGATGTTAATTACTCTTTGGTATTTTCTTTTAATGGCAAGAATTTTAAGTAATGTGCATTTACATATGATTATGGCGGAAAAGGCAGAATAAATATACGCCTTGATGTTTATTTAAAAAAAAAAACAAATGTTTGTCACAATTTATCATTAGTTTAAACCCGGGTAGTTATTTAATAAGCGCTTAGATCTCAGATCTAAATTTATATTTTTTTATAAATTATGTAAGTTACAATAGAACGAGGGAATTTATTGCGTTTTTGTTATAAATCTGTATGTATGTTAGTACGCATATTTCCATAATATACAAATATTTCTTTTTTGAAACTTTGATCAAATAATCCGTAATATATATACACGGAAACAGCAAATTCTAAATAGCTTTCCAACAGAAATTCTCTAACCACGGAGCAACAAACAAAACTGTCAAAATAAGCGCTACGAAGAAAAATTATCTTCTATTTATATAAATAAAACTTATAAAATTAATAGTTATTTCTTTCTATCTGACTTCGAACCTAGTATCTGTCTTTTAATAAGACTTTCAAATTCCTGCCTGCTTCTGTTATAAGCGCCACAAATAGCTAATAAGCGCGCGGCTGCCATTTTAATTCATCAACGTCAGCATTATACAGACGCGTCGAACAATTAGTACCGTTGACAAAACTATCGTAACACGTATCGAATTTTGAATAATTATTGTAAATTCATACATTTTGTTTGTTATTGTTGTTAAGTTTTTTTAATTTAATACTTTCTTAGATTTACGCGAATGTTTGACATTATTAAATAAAACTATCTTTTCGGATTATTTCGCGGATTTATTTTGATTTTTGGTTCCCGACGTTTCGAATGCTTTACAGCATCCATGGTCACGGGAGAGACTGAGGTGTTACATGTCTTAAAGATATAGTTGTTACAGACAGCCTACCCCCAATCAACAAAATGAAAATTGCACCAATTACATTAAAATATTTTAACTTTAACCATTTTTATAATTTTAATTATAATTGAATATGGAAAATTATTTATTTAATTTTTGCTATTATTTTTATAATTATTACAATTTTAAAAAATATTAATTAATAATCTATATTTAGTGTTGCCATTATTATATTTATAACCATAAAGAAAAATATAATTAATATTATATATTAAATTAATATTATATATTATATATTAAAACGTCGGGAACCAAAAATCAAAATAAATCCGCGAAATAATCCGAAAAGATAGTTTTTTTTTAATTTGTTTTAGTTTTTGTGTTGAAAACTAGTGGGAAAATAATAGTCGTGATCGTGAAATCATTATTAAAATGGACAATTATTTTGCAAAATAGATTTTATTCAAAAATATTACTCCAATCACTCAATCGTTTAAAAATGCCTCTGACACCAATCAGAACGTGGTTATTTCAAAGCAAATTTTAATGAATATTGACCCTTCAAAATATTGTTTTTTTTTTGCTGACGGTAAATTTTAGTTTTTGCTGACGTCACATGAATATTAATGAAACATGGCTCCAGTACAATAGCAATTTGCGAAGCTTACATCCTAGTAGTCGTGGAACTTGTACGTATTAAAAATAACAATCAGTACTAATCGACGATCTATTATCGATTTTCATATTCGACTACATTATTTGGTTTCATATCTTCTCCTATCCATATCTTTTACCCTTATATTTACTATTCACCGACAAATTAATAATCGATTACGATTAATCGATATCCATATGCGAGTATATATACCCCTTTCCTTCATCCATAAGGGTTACCTTATTTAATATAGTAATAATTTGAAATAGTAATATGTCAATAAACATCGATTATTCGCATATCAATGAATTAATAATCGATTAATCGATATTCATATAATATTGAGTATATTTCAATCCTTTCTCCTATCCCTTTTCTTGAATATTAGATTCATTTATTGAAAACTTGTCGTCGCACACTGCAGACTATCTTTTGGCCTACTGCTTATTTAGTTGGGTTCATTATTATCAGTTAACTTGTAAATTAAGTTAAACTGAAGTTAAATAAAAAATATTATTATCAGTATACAGATGCAAGCAAGCGCGTAATTTTTTATTTTTTATACAATTAACGATTTTGTAGAAGATGGCACGCCTTAAGAATGATACACCTTTATAGTGATCGCCTCCAGGCTACTTCAACTTTATAGAAATAATTTTAAATTATAATTGTAAGTTACAAAAAAGGTTACGTGATATCATTAATCTTGCTGAGTTTCTTTAGCCAGTTTTTCTCATCTTTCTGTCTGACGCTTCTTTTGGCACTGGTTCAGTAAAAACTTGTAATAATTTAATGCCGAATAAAATATTTGGAATTTGAATTTCAATTTAGAATCAAAATAATCGTCTATAAAAAGTCTACAGTGTGCGAGAGCTCTTAATTTGTTTATTACCATATACGTTTATTATCTAAATTCATTGTAATATTGCATCTCATGTGTTAACTCCTGCCCGTTCCTGTTATCCTGGTATCAACTATACAATTCATATTTAAAATCTGTAATTACATAAAACCTCCTCATAAATAAATTATTATTATTATATATATATGCAATAGGAAACATGCGTGCTTTTAGTTGCTTTTTTTATACAATAGCTTAAATCGTTATATAATTTAAAAAAAATATCCAGCTCCAAAAAACTAAAATTTAGTTGGTATATATAAAATAATTAAAAATGTAATACAGATACGAATATATATTTTAAACGCCCGCCACTTTGTCGCGCTCGGCGTGACGTCACAGTCTACGACAACATCGCGATCGTCCAACAAACAGATCTACATCGTTAGTACCAATCGCAAACACCAAACAACAGCGCCCTGTCACTATACAGTATACACTATGACGTCATATTCCGTGTGACCAATGGCGTTGCGTTTCAACTATTCTGAACTTCCCACCCATTTCTGCACAATAGTGCAATTGAAATATCAATAATTATTTTCTTAATCAAAAACAAATCAAATCAAACAATATTGATATAAACATAATTCAGAAGCAATAAAGATTATATAAAAAATAAAAAATAAATCGCCTTTATTTAACCCACACGCATATTCCATATACAACCACGACACCTACTTATTTCTGCTAATAACATACGTAACTCTCCTTCAACTATATATATATACATGATAATATAATAAATTGTTACACATTTCTACTCCACTGGTACGAAGAATAACAACTATCCAAATCCAGCACATTTATAATAATAATGTTCTACCGACCGACGTCGGCCACGGCGGCCATTCTCACTGAGACTGGCCAGCGTAGGAGATATTGTATAGTATAGTGCAGACACAACCTGCACTCTCTATTATGTCACTCTCATACTGCGGTGACACCGGTCGGAGACGCGGGAATGAAACACTCTGTGTCACTGAGACTTCTTAGCAGAAAGACTCAATAATTGAACTCGGCCCGACACGGGACTCGAACCCAGAACCTCCGTGTGCAGCTGACATGCACTACACCACCAGCAAATACATGAGCCTCTTAAAACGACGGAGCTTAACATAGTTAGTTTGTTTGTTATCATATAATAATATTAAACATGATGCCATTCTACAACCGTTTGAGAATGGAAAACTAAAAAGTATATAGGAATGACATATTATTATTAAATATTAAATTTATCATTTCAATACATTTTTTTTAATTCTTTAACTATTATCAAATGACATCTACACAGACGAACATACAAAACATTTGACAAACATATTCGAATACACCAACTTCCACCTAATCGTATTCCTACTCTCCTAGTACAAACAAACAAATTAATCCTACTACATTCTGCACATTGCTGTTAGCCTGGTAGCTAAAACCAAGGTTTGGAACCGGTTTAAACAAACCGGTTTATTTTGGTAATGTAATGGTTGTTGTTGTTAGTTAATTCATTGCTCGTTCTTTGACCGGTTAAGGAAAACAGGCGGTTTAGTTAACAGAAATAATAATAGTTAACGGTTATCCTTAGAGAAAGGTTGGATTTCGGTTTTGGATACGGAAATAAACCGGTTAATTCATTCATAAGTAAGAAACGTACATGTATCCTTCTACTAAGCAATCCACCATTAGCAAAGACGCGCCATTTTAACCGGCTAATTTTGATCATGAAACCGAAATTCATCAAAAACCTTTCTCTGAGATTTAACCGGTTAAAGAACACAACCGAAACCTTAAACGGAAAAACGTATTGGTTTCAATGACCGAAACCGGTTTGAAAAATGAGCGGGTTTCCGGATACATATTTACCAATACATTTGAACAATCCCGTCCACATACAATCCAGTTCAAACCACCTCCCATACATCTCTGTAAGCCTGGTATCTAAGCGTGTCGGCCGGCGGCTGCGGCTGCGAGCGCTAGGGCTGCCACTATGGCCACGGAGGCCGGGGGCAGACCACCCGCAGTCCGGGCGGCAGCACCCGCCAGGTAAGCCGCGGAGAGGGCCAGCCCGTGTACTGTGCATCTGGTGACAGATATAACACTTGTTTTTTGTATTCAGCCCTTTTTAACGTCCCACTGCTAGGGGTGGGCCTCCCTTTAATACGAGAATCAAGCCATAGCCCACCACGCTGGACGAGTGCGGGCGGACTGAGCATGTCTTTCGGAAACTTGGTAGGTTCTCTCAGACATGCAGGTTTCCTCACGATGTTTCCCTTCACCGTAAGATAAGTGGTGATCATGTTGGAAATGATTCGCACATGAAAATATCAGAGGTGCGAGACCCGGGATTTGAATCCGCTTCACTCGGTTTCCCAAGCAAGCGCGTTACCACTGAGCTACCACTGCCGCGTCTTTTGTTTACTGCTTGATTTTTACGGTGGCTTAAAGGCAACGGTAGCCCCGTGGTAACTCGCTCGTTTGGGACGAGTGAAGCGAGTTCGAATCTGGATCTCACCTCTGATATTATGTGCTAATCATTTCCAACATGATTACCGTCTTGTCTCACGGTGAAGGAGAACATCGTGAGGAAACCTGCATATCTGAGAGAACTTAGCAAGTTTTCGAAACACATGCTCAGTCCGCCCGCACTCGGCCAGCGTGGTGGGCTATGGCCTTATCCCACTCTTATAAAAGGGAGGTCCATGCTCAGCAGTGGGACTTACAGTGGTTCAAAATAATCTATCTGTCTGTAAATTTTCTTATTAGAGATAGAAATTCGACATAAGCTTTATACAAACTATGTCAAATTCCCATATCTAGTAACAGCACTGATATTTTCTTCTGGTAAAACCTGACAAAAAAATCTGATATAAAAACCGTTTTAAAAAAATAACATAAACCGAGTAAATATATATTTATTTCTCACCTCAAATGAGCAGGATATACATCCATTATGCGTATAGCAACGCTGAAAAATATGAACGTATTGATAAGAGCGTACGCCGCTTCTATCAGGTACAGGGCAACTTGAGAGCGCGCCACGTACAGCGCCGGGGCGAGTACCGCCGATATGATATTCATTGCCACTGTGGGATGAAAAGATAGTAGATTTTGAGCGGAACCCTAATTCTTTTTCTTAAATAAAAGTAGCCTAAGTTACACCATATAACATCAGCTATCTTCCAATGAAAGTCCCATCAAAATCAGTCCAGCCGTTTCAGAGACTATCGGGAACAAACAGGCAAAGAAAAAAAAAATTAAAAATTGTGTTTTTCATATAAGTAGCGTATATAATTTCATGTGCATTTAGTAAAACGCTGTTATTTTGACATTACAAACAGACGCTTCGATTTTATCTATCTGTACAGACGTATAGATAAATTAAGACGAGTCCTAATAAAACGGTCCGTCAGAACTCAGATCCGTATTTAGCAGTGGGCGCGTACCCAGCTGTGGGCGTGGGACTCACCATAGACGCGGGGCACGTGGGCACGCCGCACGCCAGTGGGCAAGGCCGCTAGCAGAGCCCCATGCGCGGCACACAGGCGACGCAGCACCGCGGGGCGAAGCACCCAACGCACATCGGGACGGCACGCGGAGTTCATACCACGGACACTGCTCGCTATCAGCGTGCACGAGAGCAGCTCGCGATTAATTTGCATGTCCGTGTCTATTATTCTGTAATATAATAATAATAATAATCTATACTAATATTATAAAGAAGTAAAGTTTTTGAGTTTGTGACGTTGTAGGGGATAATCTCTGGATCTTCTGAACCGATTTAGATGAAACTTGGTAAGGAGATAGTTTGAGACCCTAGGAAGGACATAGGATACTTTTTATCCCGGAAATCATCCCATAAGAGGGTGAAAATAGGGATGAAAGTTTGTATGGGGAATCACGCTAGGGACGAACGGTCGCTAGTAATATAAGCCTTTATTCAAACATGGTTTATAATAAAGATTACAAACTGCATGTTTTCAATTGTTTACTTTTTACACATATATGACAAATTACTTAAGATATATATATATATATATATATATATATATATATATATATATATATATATATATATATATATGATTGCGTTTTACTTATTCTATTATTTTATCTATACTAATATTATAAAGAGGTAAAGTTCGTGACTTTGTGAAATTGTGAGGTTGTGAAGTTGTAGGGGGTAATCTTTGGATCTACTGAACCGATTTAGATGAAATTTGGTAAGAAGATAGTTTGAGATCTGGGCAAGACATAGGATACTTTTCATCCCGGAAATCATTCCTTAAGAGGGTAAAAATTGGGATGAAAGTTTGTATGGAGAATCAAGCTAGGGAAGAACCCGAGCGAAGCGAGAGTAATTCGCTAGTGTACATATATATGTAGTAAGATTACTCTGCCTCGACAACCTTGTCTTGTTTGATTATTCTGTAATGGACATATTATTTATTTATTGACTAGCTTAATTATTGCCCGCGGCTCGCGTTCAGATGACCAAAAACCAAATTCTTAGGTATTGCATATTAGTATATTCTTAAATTGCTGTTTTTGTATTTTTTCTCAGAAATGAGATATTTTTTTGTGAGATATTTTTTATTTGAAAAAGTATCCTATATGTTGACCCGGATAACCAGCTATGACCATACCAAATTTCATCAAAATCCTTCCAGTAGTTTTTCTGTGATGCGGTAACAGACAGACAGACAGACAGACAGACAGACAGACAGACAGACAGACAGACAGACAGACAAACAAACAGACAGACAGACAGACACAAAAATTCTAAAAACTATAGATTCGGCCTATGTATCGATAATAATGTCTATTTCAATAAGATTTTCCAAAAAATATTTAATGTACAGATTCGCACAGTTAGAATTTTATTATATTGTATAGAAGTGAAAACTCTCTTTATCTCTTTAGGCATATCGGTTTAGATGAGATACTGAAATACGTTTTTATCTGTGCATAGTATAAAGTCAATTCGCTTCTGCTGTTTGTTCGCTTACATCTTTTAAACTACTCAACGGATTTTAAAGTAGTTTTCAGCAAAAGATAGTGATTCAAGAGAGAGTTTTATATGTATAATACATGCATATTATAGTACAGAAAAGCCGAGGAATTCAAAGATTTGTATTTAAAACTAACCGTTTAAACGCACCGTTATTGGATAAATTAATATATTTATATTAATAAATATTAATAAATTTTATATATTATACTAGCATTGCCCGCGGCTTACATATTAGTATATTACATTGCAGTTTTTGTATTTTTTCTCATAAATGAAATATTTTCTCGCGGTAAAAAGTATCCTATATATTGACCCGGATAGCCAGCTATCACCATACCAAATTTCATCAAAATCCCTCCGGTGGTTTTTCTGTGATGCGGTAACAGACAGACAGACAAAAATTCTAAAAACTATAGATTCGGCCTCTGTATCAATAATAATATGAAATAAATTTCAATAAAATTTTCCAAAAAAAACTTAATGTACAGATTCGGTTTAGTTACAATTTTATTATCTTTATATATATATAATTCTTCTGTGAGTGTGTATGTCACTGAACTTCTCTCAAACGACTGGACCGATTTTGATGAAATTTTTTGTGTGTGTTCAAGGGGATCTGGGAATGGTTTAGATTCACAATTTGAATAATAATTTTCATAAAAAAAAATTATTAAAAAAAGTTTGAAATTTTCAAATTAAAGACGTGTAGACAGGACAACGTCTGTCGGGTCCGCTAGTATGTATAGATAGATGTAGTACACCGTATAGCCGGTGCATCGATATTTGATTATTTCAATCTATTTTATTGAAATAGAAATAAATATCGTACATTGAATTGTGCGCGTTTTTAATGTCACACCTTTTACTTTTTACTAAAAACTGTTAAAAATGTAATTTATAAAAAGGTCGTATTACTTTTTATTATAATCTGTTAAAAACGTAATTTATCAAAAACTAGTAAAGTATAAAAAGGATGTGTGTGTGTGTGTGTGTATACGTGTGTGCCGTATATCACACACTCCACTGTCTCGTTACTAGCAGAACCCGCGGCTTCGCTCGCGCTAAAACTACAAAAAAACTCTAAAAAGGTAGGTTTCACACAAAATATCATCCCCTATATTACCTAATTATGGGATGAATTTTTAAAAATGCTAAAACACGTATTTATTCAATTGTATTGAAGAAAATTAATATTATGTTTCAAGTAATTCTGATCATAAATATTTTTTGGGTTGTATTATAACGTGTTTTCCCGTGAGAAGTAGACGATCTCCCGCGGTAAAAAGTAGCCTATGGCACTTTCAGCCCTGCAACTATCATAATACAAGAAATCACGCCAATCCGTTTCGACGTGAAAGAAAGACAAACAAACAAACAAACAAACAAACACACTTTCACATTTATAGTATTAAGTATCGTAGTATGGATATGCTATTAGTGACTTACTCTCATATTCAGGAATTGTATGTATATATGTGCGATCCTATGTTTCCCCGTAATTACTAAACGGCTTAACCGATTTTGACAACAGACGTCATTAGATTTGTATTGGTAACGCGAGTGTACACGAAGCAAAACTCGCACCAAGTAACATAATATATGCATGTATATCTCCGTCAGTATAATACTATGCTATTTCTATTACTTGTTTTTATCTTCTCAGGTTTTATTTTTTGGTATTTATTGTTTTATTATATACAGAATAACAGCTGTTACAGAGTGAATGAATTATGTAAATAATTTATCAATTTGTGAATCAAAACCACACTCGCATCGCTTAGTTAAACAAAAACCACCCTAATTAGAGTATTTTCTTGTATGAGATGAAGTATAAATTATATTCATTATTGCACTTTAAAAAAACAACATAGAAAATGACGTAGACAATACTAGTATAGTATTATCAACGCTATATAGTAATGATGTAACAAATATTCGCATTCGCAAATATTCGCATATTTTTTGCCATTCGTATTCGCAAAGAACGATGCGAATGTTTGGCGAACATATTCGACAAACAAAAAATAAATTATATATGTAATATATGGATATGAAATGATATTACAACTGTGCTTTACTCATGTTTCTATATCACTTTGTCGCTTTTGAATAGGTATCGATTAAATTTGATAAATCCAATAATACTAAACTTCAAATCACAACAAATCTTTTCATGACTAACTTCGTTTAATCAATCTGTATCTGCTATGTTCGATTTAAACATGGCCGACACGAATTGTCAAACCTGTCTGTTAACATATTGCGCGAGCTCTATTTGAAAGTCAACATTCGCATTCGCATTTGCATTCGCATTCGCAAATATTGGAGATACATATTCGCATTCATATTCCCATTCGCGTATATGAAAAATCGGACATAAGTTACATCACTACTATATAGCCTTAGTTATTTGTTCAAACAACCTATACTTGTTGTACAATAAACTCACCCTCGTTTCGCTCGGGATCGTCCCTAGCTTGATTCCCCATACAAACTTTCATCCCCGTTTCCACCCCCTTAAGGGATGATTTCCGGAAAAACAAATATCCTATGTCCTGTCTAGTCTCAAACTATCTTCTTACCAAATTTCATCCAAAATCGGTCCAGTAGCTTTTGAGTTAATTCATTACAAACATACAAAAATACAAATCTTTCGTGTTTATAATAGTAATGGAAATTAAACAAAAAAAAACCACTCACGTGCTATTAACGAACGTCGTGTCCCTGAACGTTGTGTACGAGGTCTTTATATTAGAGAGAGCGGAGTTATAGAATGTACAATTCACAAACTCGACGTGAGACATTAGTATATCTCGGAAAGTGCAATTCTTGAATGTGACCTCAACAAAATCCATATTTTCGAGTGTTTCGTTGTATGACACGTGCTCGTATGTTACATTTTCTATAGTTTTTCTCGTCAGCTCGTACTCTTCGTTCTCCATTTTGACCACCACCGCTGGTATGTAGGCCAATAGAAAGAACTGGAAAGTAAAAAAAAATATTTCATTAAATTGACACAACTTTTTTTTTAATTATGACCCGATTGAAATACAATAAATAGTGAATGTTAAGTGAAGCTTATCAGTTATCACAATATATTATTGAAAACCGCACCCAAATCGATTAAGCCATTTCTGAGATTATCGGGCACGAAAGCATAGACAAACAGATTCCCAATAATAGTTTTTTTTTCTAATATCTTCCATGTTCCATTTACGGACAGCGATCAGTTATTATATGTATGTATAGATATAGATTGAAAGTCCCGTCAAAAAATCGGTCCAGACGTTTCGGAGATTAGCCGGAACAAACAGACAGACAGACAGCAAAAAAAAATTAAAAATTGTTTTCTTTTTTTTATTAATAGTACCGTATATACTTTCATATGCATATAGTAAAAAGCTCTGTCTGTATAGACATGTCACTCACTTGTATCGCAACTGTACACAGCAGCATTCCAGTCAAAGAGAGCGTTGTGCTCCTGTACGTGGTTGAGAACAGCTGGAAGAACGCCTGCCAGAACTGTTGACAAAACTTCATTATTAGACGCAATTAATATAAGTTAATAATTAGATTAACAAATAGATAAGCAAATAGTTAGATTTATTAAGCAATATATATATATATATATATATATATATATATATATATGTATATAATAATAATAAATAATAAATATATTGGGACATTAACACACAGCACCATCTAGTTCCATGGTAAGTTACGAGGCTTGTGTTATGGATACCAGATAGTTGATACACTACACATAAATAACTTTAAATACATACATATTATAAATATAAACACTCATGACTGGACAAACATTCGTGCTACACAAATGAATGCCCCCAGCGGGACTCGAACCCGCGACCGCTGGCACAGCAAGTAGGGTCACTACAAACTGAGCCAAACGTGTCGTCATATATGATTGTATAATTATTATAAAGTAGTGGTAGCTCAGTGGTAACACGCTCGCTTTGGGAAACCGAGCATAGCGAGTTCAATTCCCGGGTCTCGCACCGATAATTTCATATGCAAATCCTTTCCAAAAAGACTACCACTTGTCTTACGGTGAAGGAAAACATCATAACAAAACCTGCATGTCTGAGAGAATGTAGCGAAGTTGAAAGACATGCTCAGTCCCACATTTATCCAGCGTGATGGACTATGGCCTGATACCGTATTGAAGGAAAGCCCACGCCCAGCAGTGGGACGTTAAAAAGGGTTGAATACAACAACAGATCACAAAGATCTACCATCTTAACACTGTGCCGTACGTGGTGCAGCGCAGGCGCACGTCTCTTGCCGGGCAACGCCAGTTCGCCCAAACGGTACTCCGTGGTATGAGAGACCCCACACACTCGGGTCTGGTTACCGCTGTGGATGCTCTGTGGATGTAAGGGTTAAGTTATAACGGGGTTAAATCATAGTAATATTTATTACGGTACGTAGTACCTACGTATGGAATAGATAGTCGATCCTTTGTTCTGTGAAAAACAAAAACATATGTATCCCACGGGATTCCTACATTTTTCCGGATAACAAGTAGCCAATGTGCTATTCCAGACTATAATTTATCTCTGTGCCAAATTTCATCCAGATTCAACCATTCTAGCGTGATTGAGCAACAAACCAAATTTTCGCATTTATAATATTAATTAAGGGATTTCTATATATATATATATATATATATATATATATATATATATATATATAGAATTCTATTATGTTGTACAAAAGAATACCTAAAATTACTTATATAAAACCTATAACTAGCAATGAAATAAATAAAATATTCCACCAACCTGATACACCATCATGGCGTCCACATCCCGACCCATTTCCAGCAAGTAGCGCGGCGACTCGTGCGTCCATACGAGACTGATGAGCGACGCCAGTATCGGTATTGTGCAGAGCAGCAAATATCTGTGGATAAATTTATATTATCTACTTGCTGTTTTGATTAGGTTGATTCCCCATACAAACTTTCGTCCCCATTTTCACCCCCCTTAAGGGATGATATCCGGGATAAAAAGTATCCTATGTCCTTCCCAGGGTCTCAAACTATCATCTTACCAGATTTCATATAAATCAGTCCAGTACATCCAGAGATTACCCCCTACAACGTCACAAACTCACAAATTTTTCCTCTTTATAATATTAGTATAGAGACTTACCATGGCTTCGCTCGGGCGCGTCCCTAGGTACGTTTTAAATTTTTTCGATAGGGACTCTTAATTCTTTTTCTAAAATAAAAATAACCTAATTTACTCCTTATAACCACAGCTATCTATCAGTGAAAATCCCGTCAAAATCAGTCCAACCGTTTTGGTGATTGGCCGGAACAAACAGACAGACGAAAATTTGAAAAAAATGTGTTTTTTTTTATAAGTACCATATATAATTTAATTCGCATTTAGTAAAAAGCTATCGTTTTGTAATTACAAAAAAAACACTACCAATTTTATTTCATCATAACCCTGTACCATGTAATCTAAGAGTTGCCATGACGCGATAATCAGTTCCTTATTGATCACTCTAACACAGTACTCGGTAACTCTCTGGCATTGTACCATGCGGGTTGCTCCTGGTACTTCTCTGATAGCAAAGTGGACTTTGGAGCAACCCCATGGTTGATGTGGGTGCCACGGCTGCAACGTCCCATTAAGACGAGCGAGGTTCCGTTGACCCCCTATATGTATACAGACGGTATGCGTAAAGGCATTTCCCAACATTAAAAAAAAACAGTTACCTCAAAATTAACGCTTTTCAGAACATTAAAAAGGGTTGCTATAATTTATTTATTTGTTTATTGGTCCACAAAACAAATGACAATCGAACACATATAAAACCAAAAATGGCTTACAAAATTAAAACACAGGATTGCAATAACAATAATAATAATAATAATAAAAAAATATTACAACAGCTAACAGCTAGGGTTGTCACTCACCTGTGCCAAGCGCTGAAATGCTCCTTGCTGTCAACGAGCGCGTCAGCCCCAGTGGGCGGGAGTACGGCACGCGCGAGCCCCGCAGCAAGCAGCACGCCGGCGCCGAGACAGCCCGGCAGCGCTGCGGCCAGCGGCACGCGCGCCGGCCTCGCTGCGCTCTCGCCGGCGTACGCGAGACCGGCGGGCATCACGCCGCCGGAACCTATCGCCGAGCAGAATCTGTATCGTGTTGGACACACAGACATATTAATATTGATTAAATATAACAATTTATTACATACTTCAAATTATGCATTCACTTATAATATGTTTAACAATAATCTGTGGTAAGAACTTGTTAATTTAATTCAAAATCCAATTGTCTAACCGGCCAAGATAAAAAAAGTTGTAAAAAAATTAAATTGCAAAGACAAAAAAAAAACAGACGCGTAACAATTACTTAATGAAGAGTGTAGCAAAACAGCAATTATAAAACATGTAAGTATGTATACATCTGACAACATAAACTACCTTTAATCATCAATTTGGGCTTATCTTATTAACTCGCATATACTCACAGAAGAAAAAATATATATAAATATATTACTTCTCTTATGATCATCTGTTATTTTAAATTATCTATAATGAACACACATATAAAGCTGTATCACACAACACCCACCTAGCCATCATGAAAGTCCCATAAGTGGGCATGAAGGCAGCGATGGCGGCGAACACCGCGTTGACCGCCAGCGCCGAGTGCAGCGCGCGTCTGCGCCCGCCACGCTCGGCCAGCGCGCCCCATCCCACCGCGCCCAGCGACCACCCCATTATTGATATTAAAACTGGAATATAATACATATATTAATAATAATGATACTCTATACACTAATATCTATACTTATATTATAAAAAGGATAAGTTTTTGAGTTTGTGGGGTAATCTCTGGATCTACAGAACTGATTTAGATGAAATTTGGTAAGAAGATAGTTTTGGACCCTGGGAAGGACGTAGGATACTTTTTATCCCGAAAATCATCCCTTAAGGGGATAAAAATGGGGATGAACGTTTGTTTGGGGAATCAAGTATATAGTATTATATAATTAGCGACTAGCCCTCGCTCCGCTCGGGTTCGTCCCTAGTTACGTTTTAACGTTTAGTATAGATCTCTCAGAGATGAGTAATTTACATGCAGTAAAAAGTATCCTATATGTTGACCCGGATAACCAACTATCATTACACCAAATTTCATCAAAATCTGTCCAGTGGTTTTCACGTGATGCGGTCACAGACAGATACGAAGGACAAAAATTCTAAAAACTACAGTTTCGGTCTCTGTATCGATAATAATGACTATTTCAGTAAGATTTTCCAAAAAATATTTATCATACAGATTCGACTCAGTTAAAATTTTATTAAACGTATAGGTAATAAGTAATAACGTCCTACCGACCGATGTCGGCCACGGCGGCCAATCTCACTGAGACTAGCCAGATACACGAGATATTGTATCGTATAGTGCAGACACAACGTGCACTCTCTGTTCCTGTCACTCTCACACTGCGGTGACACCAGTCGGAGGCGCGGGGGTGAAACACCGCCAACTTCTCAACTCCGGAGTGTTACCGAGACTTCTTAACAGAAAGTCTCAATAATTGAACTTGACCCGAGCCGGGACTCGAACCAAATTTGCAAATGTACATACTAGCCACCAGACCATAGAGATCAAGTAACAAACATACAAACACATATGTATTAAACCCTTTTAAGGTCCCACTGCTGGGCGCGGGTTTCACATCAATACGAAGGGCCAGGCCGTAGTCCACCATACTTGCCAAGTGCGGGTTGGCGGGTACGAGCACGCACACACAAAACTAAAACAATGCTCACCCAACCAGTTCTTCTCATGCGGCTGTATACATAGCTCTATCTCCGCTGATGGTAACACAAATGCTATAGAAGCCAGCTCGAGCGAAGCCCCAGCTATAGCAAAGCCGACGGCCAAGTATACACGAATCTGGTAGAGACCACAGCCAGCCTGTTGATATAATAAAAATAATAATTATCTGGTCTATTTTTACCCGACTAAGTCAAAATAAGGGTTATGTTTTTAGTAATCTATGTATATATGTACGTATGGCTTATTTTCATATCTACCTAAAAATCATAAAAATCGGTCGATCCGTTTCAGAGGAGTGCTACCACAAACACCGTGACGCGGGGTATTTATTTGAAGACACGTTTGTTTCTGTTTGTAGTGACCCTACTTGCTGTGCCAGCGGTCGCGGTTTCGAGTCCCGCTGGGGGCATACATTTGTGTGATGAGCACGAATGTTTTGTACTCCAGTCATGAGTGTTTATGTTTATAATATGTATGTGTAATGTATCAACTATCTGGTATCCATAACACAAACCTCGTAGCTTACCATGGAACTAGATGGTGCTGTGTGTTAATGTCCAAACATATATATTATTATTATTTATATATTATAAGATGGTCACCTGTCTCAAAGCATCTTCATGGAACTGTTCGAGCACACTGGAATCGTTGTAGTCCAGGAGCTCACCGCTCTCGTTCCCCTCGGGGTTCTCTGGCGGTATGTTCGTCATCGTTGTTGTGTTACCGGGTTCGCCGGAACCTTCTGTTCCAGAGTTAACTGTCAATCATGTTAATTATTTCATAAAAAAATAAAACAAAAAAAATGAACTTTACGTAATTTTTTTTTGAAGTCATACTTCTTTTGGCTCGTCTGGAAAAAATTATGCGACTAAAATTTTTACGATGCGCACGCCGACAGCCAAGAAGCAACATGACATGTTAGCTGCATTCCCTTTACAGGGAGTTGTGACATACGGGATGAAATCTTTAGTTATTTTTGTTCTGTTACGCCAAAGAAGTATAACTTCTTACGCGCGTACATAAGTACCACACGTTTTTTTCTATATTATTGTATAATCATACTTAATATTATAAAGAGGTAAAGTTATTAAGTTTGTGAATTTGTTTGTAAAAAGAAATCTCTGGAACTATCGAACTGATTTAGATGAAATTCGGTAAGATAATTCTAGATCCTGGGATCATCCCGTAAGGAGGTGAACATGGGGATGAAAGTTTGTATGGGGAATCTACCCGGCGAAACCGAGCGAAGCGTGGGTAAGTCGCTGGTATGTCTCTCCATTAAACTTATTTAAATGTAATATTCGCATAATACTAAGAAAGTGTTAATTAGAGGTCAAGTTATCATTATAAAACGTTTAGCTAAAATTGAAAATTCCAAAGGGATTTATGGTTTATTTGGGTATCTTATATTTATTATATAATAATAAACATACAATCAGGCAGTGGTAGCCCCGTGGTAACGCGCTCGCTTGGGAAACCGAGTGATGCGGGTTCAAATCCCGGGTCTCGCACTTCTGATATTTTCATGTGCTAATCATTTCTAGCATGATTACCACTTGCCTTACGGTGAAGGAAAACATCGTGAGGAAACCTGCATGTCTGAAAAAACTTAGCAAGTTTTCAAAAGACATGTGAAGTCCGCCAACCCGCACTTGGCCAGCGTGGTGGACTATGGCCTGATTCCCCTCGTACTGAAGGGAGGCCCGTGCCCTGCAGTGGGACGTTAAAAAGGGCTGAATACAACAAATACAATACAATAAACATACGACAATAGCATTCCCAAGGAGGGTTGACGTCAGGCAGGCGGCCGGTCGTAAAGCTTTTGCCAAATCCTATTAGCAGTACAGAAGATGTACTGCGCCGACCCCAAGTGATTGGGAAATGGGCAGTGAGAAGAAGATATTTATTATATACTAGCCCGTGTCCCTAGCTTGCTTTCCAATACAATTTTCGATTAAGGGATGATTTCCAGGATAAAAAGTATCTTATGTCCTTCCCAGGATTCTAATCTAAATCGGTCAGTAGATCCAGAGATTACCCCCTACAACCTCACAAACTTTACCTCTTTATAATATTAGTATAGATATTTGGTACATTTACGATTTTCTAAACTAAATTAAGCGTTTGACAATACAATAAAACATCTCATTTGCCAAAAGTAGAACTAAATACGTCGTATTTTTTTAACATAAATTTTATTTTACATGCTTTATAATGAACATATCAAGGGCAAAACACAAAAACTAACTGCAGTCGATTCCTATACAATAGAGGGGCACTTACCACTCAATCTCGTATCAGTGTATGTCATTGTGCGTGACAGTGATCCGAAGCTGCCTAACTTAGACGAGCTCTCAGAGTCGGAGCGAGCGTGCACCAAGCACGCTTGTTCCTCCATATTGAGTGCTGATAATATTCACTTTATTGCGATACATCTGAAAATTATATATAGAATATATACGCTTTAAAAAAGTTTATTTAAAATTAAAAATACAAATATTTATGTTTACATTTAATTAATACATCGCGTACAAGCTTCAAAACACTTACGAACGACATATAAACAAACATACAAATCGTCACCTTGATGCTTATTTTGTTCAAAGGACCAATACTTATTGTACTTCACATTGTACTTATCTTTCATCTATACTAATACTATAAAGAGGTAGAGTATATTTGTTTGTTTAAACGCGCTAATCTCAGGAACTACTAATCCGATTTGAAAAATTCTTTTTGCATTAGATAGCCCGTTTATTTTTATTGAGCAAGGATATAGGCTATATATCATCATGCTACCCAAGATAGCGGAGCAGTAATCATAAATGTCAACAAATCGGGCAGACTTTCATATATTACTGTAAAGGGAAGAGAAAAAGTTTTTTTTGTACTTTGAACGCGAGAGAAAGCGCGGGTTCTGCTACTTTAAACACAAAGATTGTTTAGACTTATATACATATGTGTATAGATAAAATACATCAATTCGGCTAATTTAAAGTAAAATGTGTATTTAATATCAATAGAATAGACATTTTAAGTCAATAATACTATATTAAAAACTCTCGGTAAATTGGTCGTTTGGACAAATAAGCACTGTGATGACGAAATAGTCACAACAATTATTATAGGGCTAAGCGTTCAAACAATCACATATTTTAAATTTAGGACGCTTATAATTAATTTTTGCACAAAGAAGTTACTCCCTCTCAAAATTAAAAGTAATAATGGCATCGAATTATTTTTTTATTTATAAAGACCATGCTTGATGTACAATCTGCTAATTAAAGAAATACGAAAATTTATTATTCTATATTAATTTATTACAGATATGAGAGTCCATTTATTAGGCTTTGTTTAATCAGCAAAGTGATAGAGTTAGTTTGTTACTTTTAATCGTAGTTTATTTCCCAGACTCACTCACCGACAGGCTACTTTTAGTCACAGTAAGTGTATAACTTGACAAATTTATATTCTAACTTGGTAAAAACAAAAACAAATCTATCCCATGGGAACCGTACATTTTCCCGAGGTAAAAAGTAACCTATGTAGTATCCCAGACTAATCGCCGAGAGTAGAAAATAATCTAAGTACTAATATCGCTATTGAAAATTAGGGGTTGGTGGTAGAACAGTGAAAATCTAGGCTTATATGTATGTAAAAAAAGTTTTTTTGTGATGAACCGCCCTTATCACTTAGGGGTATGAAAAATAGTTTGTCCTGTTCTCAGACCTACTAAATATACACAAAAAATTTCATAAGAATCGGTCAAGCCGTTTCGGAGGAGTTTTGTTACAAACACTGTGACTCGAGAATTTTATATATTAGAAGTTAATACATATTATAGATAAAGAAAAATCCATCCAGCTATTTAAGCATGAAAGACCAAAAACCATACAAACACAAATCTATACTAATATTATAAATGCAAAAGTTTAAATGTTTGGATGAATGTTTGTTACTCAATAACGCTAGAACGGTTGTATAGATCTGGATGAAATTTGGCAGAGATAGAATTATAGTCTGGAAGGAACAGAACATAGGCTACTTTTTATCCCGGAAAAAGGTACGGTTCCCGTGGGATAGATTTATGTTTATTTCTCTAGGCGAAGCCAGCGAGTCTCTAGTAAATAACATAAATATTCTTTAAATCAAACACATTTTAAACTTAACGTGATTGAAATCATTTAGCACAAATATTGCATGCACAGGCAGTTAAGGCGTGGCAATTTGTTAATATATAGCATTGTTCGTTTTAAAGCTAAGAATTTGTTTGTTTCATTCATTCTAATTTCGCTTGCTAGGAGAAAATTTAGACTCAAGCTATGCGTAGTTGGTAGTGTTAAGTGCATTTAAATATAAATATGTTGCTAAATTGTAACACATGAGGCAAGCCAGGTTGTATTTTAAGTTTTTTAAATGTTTGTAATATTCTTGTGTATCGACTCAGAATTTTACTATATGTATATATAGTAAAATTCTGAGTCGAATCTGTACATTAAATATTTTTTGGAAAATCTTATCGAAATAGTCATTATTATCGGTACAAAGGCTGAATTCATAGTTTTTAGATTTTTTGTCTGTCTGTGTCTGTGATCGCATCACGAGAAAATCACTGGACAGATTTTGATGAAATTCGGTATGATGCTGGTTATCCGGGTCAACGTATAGGATACTTTTTATTGTGGGAAAATATCTCATCTATAAGAAATCTATACTAAGCGTTAAAAGTTAGAACGTAACTAGAGATGAACCCGAGCGGAGCGAGGGAGGAGGAGGAAGAAACAAAAGGCTTGCATTTTTACCTTTTGCCTAGCATTTGTACAATGTTATTAAATTTATTTCTAAACAATTGAACAAGGTTTAATATTCAGCTACTTAAAGGAAATTTTCACTTAACAAAGGATGTAAATTAATTACACATAGTGAAATCATATTAGCACAAAACATCTACAAGCGAGTTACAATGAAACAAATATGAGGGCAATACTCAATAACAAGTTGAATTGTCCTTGATAGTAAATTGAATGTGGGTGGTTTACGAGATTGCAGGAATTCCACAAAATGTTTAAATAGATCTTATATATTTTACATGCTATTTTATGTCATACACATTATAACATAATATATATCACTTGTTTGCATTTAATACATTATTTAATTAAAAAGAAAATGTATATTTTTATTATTAATCTATACAGATAAATAAAATTGAAATGTCTATTTGTAATATCAAAATAACCACTTTTTACTAAATGCATATGAAAGTATATATGATACCAATAAGAAAAAATTTTTTTTTTGTATGTCTGTTTGTTCTGGCTAATCTCTGAAATGGCTGGACCTATTTTGACGGGACTTTCACTAGCTGGTAGCTGATGGTATAAGGAGTAACTTAGGTTTCTTTTATTTTTAAAAAGAATTAGGGTTCTGTGCAAAAAATAAAAACACAAGAAATTGAAAACAAAGCCCTTATACCCAAGGACGCACCCGACCGAAGCGATGGTAAGTCACTAGTTTATTCAATACAGTAACTATTAAACTGGCAACTGGAAATATGGACAGATACTGATCATAATACAGCAGATTAAGCAATTATTCAATTAAATTCTCAGACGGGACTACTCATTCAAATGCAATGAGTGTTCTTAAGTCCTTTTTTCCTCATTTAAGAAGTCTACCTACACACTACCTACAGTCGAACCTGGATAAACGAGAGTTCAAGGGACAGCATTCTCTTTTTCCTTGGCCTTTCTCATTTATAGAGGTTTAAAAAAATACAAATATAAGAGTTATACACTCTAATCTTATATGAAATGAGTGAAAATGTGTAGATAAACATGTATGTATTGTATCAATATTGTTCATCAGATTTGACTACAAATTAATATTAGTTCCTCGAAATTTAAGGAAACAAAAACAATGCTAGTTCCACAAAAAGCTATAAATTGCAAGTGTTGAATAGTTCGACTGTATATTATAGAGGTACAGGCAAGTAGCAGTCTTGGTTACAGATGACTTTCTCTTATAGAGATTTCTGTTTCTCCATTTTAGAGGAATTTAGAGGGATAAAGTGATGAGACCTGGTAGTAACTCTCACTTAATGAGTTTTCTCTCTTACCCAGTTCTCACTCACTCAGGTTGGACTGTAGTCTTTTTGATAATTAAATTAAATACACTGTTGTTTATATATTACTATAAAATCAAATGTCAATCAATATAACATCTTCAAAAGGATAGTAACAAAAATAATAGATCATAAAAGGTTTTTTATAATTTATAAACAAAAAAGGATCGAATTATTTTTTGACTTATAAAGACAACCCTTTATGTACAACCTACTCTTTAAAGAAATACAAAAACTTAATATTTTATACTAATTTATTAGATGTGTAAGTTCATTTGTTAGCCTTAGTTTACTCAGCAACAGTGATAGGGTTAGTTTGTCCCTTTTAATCATAGTTTACTTCCCAGACACACTCACCGACAGGCTAGGTTAGTCACAGTGTCACTTGAGATATTTATATTCTACAATCAAATCTATCCCATGGGAACCGTACATTTTCCAGGGATAAAAAGTAAACAAAAACACAAATATTAGTATAAAAGGAGGTAGTATGTAAAAAAATATATAAATCTCATTGCATTTCTTATCAAGTTACAATTAGTTTGAATGTATTCGTTAATTTAAATTACTGAAACAATGAAAATTCGATAAGATACCATACAGGTTTTGTATGAATATAAAATATCAATACTTACGCTAAATAAACAAATGGCAAATATAGTTATTACAAATTTCATAAAAGTTGCATTTTTCAAGCAAGTAAAACGTTCGACATTCTCATTAAAAAGCATACAATTATAACATATATATTCATAATTTAAAACACATTTATTTAATTTTTAATTATGACAAAACACGAATGTTACTACAACTATTAGTTATTAACACCACATTATAAAGAATAACACATCTCTATAGTTATGGCTAATTGTGTAGAAATTATAATAACTCTTGATAAGTTATCTAGATACCTACGAGTAAAGTCAATTGTTTAATAAAATGTAAAATATATAAATAATAAGGGCTTCGATGTATACATTTTAAGTAAGAAAAATAATGTTAAATACTTACGTTTTACTGCAATAAAGATATATTAACAGCAAGTGGAAGATATTAAGCACTTATTTCCATTATAATTTATATTTATCACGCAAATAAACAAAATAAACAGGCGAGATTCAGGAATAAGTCAAGACGAGACAAAGCGGCCACCACAGACTATATACATAGAACATAATATACACACATATTGTACAAAATATACATAGGTTCGGGCTTAAAAGTGAAATTTGTACACAAAAATAATATAGTAAAATCCAAATCTACACTCACTTAGAAATAACAATAAAATATCAATAATATCATAGTATGAAAAGAAAATGGTTCTAGCTTACAGGTAAACCTAAACTTACAATAATTTTTCAAGCGGAAAGCAATGATGATTGGCTAATAATATGCTTATTTTAACACTTAAAGCCACACAAAACTTTGATAAAAAATATTTTACAAATTACATTGTGAGATTATATTGCTCGTGATATGTGCAAAACTCTCAAAAAATAATATTTGCTATTTAGGACCTGCAGCACACAATTTTTATCATATCGCTATTAATCTTTATTTAAAATTTAAAACTGCTTGATGTTATACTCTTAAAAGTTGTCGTTGAATAATAAATATTACACAAAGTCAGTGAATGAATTAATTATTAAGCACTGTGATATCTAAACATCTAGGGATTACACTGAGATATCAAACACTTCTAGCGTATTAGTATCGTTTATGATAAAACACGAAATGTCAAAAATATACACCAATTTTTACAAAGATATTAGAAGATAAACAACTAATATTATAAAAATATTTTCAAATATATAACTCATCAAATTCAGTGTTATAGAGAAATCGGTTTCCCTAATTTATCACGTGTGTAACAAAGTAAAGTCGGCAGAGTTTAAGGTCAAAAAAGAGATAGCAGAATATTTTGGTGAGAAAGACAAGGACAGAAATATGGATGATTATATGTGTACATGATAAAATATAAAATGAAATTGATCTTAAGATATATCTGAGGATAGCGTATATGATATATATTTATTTTACGTTATGTTCTAAAAATATATTCTAATAGAACAGGATTCAAAATGCGTGTTAAAAAATCTATTTGTTTTATTTTATTTAATGGATAATCATTTTATTTATTTTTAACTAATCATATTATTTTATTTCGCCTTTAGGTCATTTACAATAATCTTGTATATAAATAAAAATGAATCACCGAAATGTAGGTATAGAGGCGCATATGTTTCGATCGATTGCACCAAATTGGATATTTCTTTTTTTTATGGTCAAGACAAGTATTATGTATGGAAGAAAATTTAAAGAAAAAAATTTTTTTACCAAAAAATTTTTTTTTAATCTCATGATATGAAAAGTGAGTTAGTGAAATAGTTTTTATCCCGGAAATCATTCCAAAGGAGGATGAGAATGGGTATGAAAGTTTTTATGGAGAAGAAATCCAGGGACGAACCCGAGCGAAGCGAGGGTGAGTCGCTAGTAATAAATATAATTTACATTTCTATAAATCAAATGAGAAAAATAAAAATGATTTTCTCATATTATGCTCGTGTGTAGCATTGCATATCGATTTAAGGAACTCACGCAGTGCGCAGATAGGAGTGTCAACACATGCGCAGATTGTAAATTTAGTTTCGCTTTTGAAAAATGAACTTAAATACAATATTCATATGTTACACAGTTTAAATTTTAGTATATATATTGTATTAATTTAAATGATATAGTTGCAAAACTATAGAATTCTAATGAATTGGCAATACTAATTTTTGCATAATGTTTAAATGAATAGCCTCATTCTTGCAGAATCATAAAAATTGCAAACTTATAAGTTATGCATTCTATCTTAAAATTTAGGCATAGAAGTAATATTTATTAAAATTATATAATTTTTTAGAATTCACACCTTTAGAATTCAATTTTGTTAAAGTTTCTGATCGTACCTTGTCATTGTCATTTGTCAATGACCAGTGTTTGAGCGGGAATTGAAATTTACTTGTTGTTCCACTTCCTGGTCTGTTGATCATAAACATTGAAATTTGAATTTTGAAATATTACACAGATTTCTATTTTCAAGCCATTGCGTCTAAAAATTAGTTTATTAATATTTAATATACTTATATTTAACAATCATGCCAGAAGTATCTGATCAATTCTTTTCTTTACAAATAAAATTGATAAGAAAATATTTAAAATTCAAAATATTGGAAGACAATATAAGATTTAGAGATCATGAGAACGAAAGGAAACATGTGTATGATTTAATATCACGAGCAGTTTTACAAGGGGAATCTCATTCTGCTTTGATTATCGGACCTCGTGGATGTGGAAAGACTACTGTAAGCGAATTTATTAATATTCTTATTTTGTTAATCCCTAACTCAAAAAGAGGAGTGTATATGTTTAACATGTGTATTTGTGTGTTTGCTGTGGCATTGTAGCTGTTAAACGGATTAACCGATTTTAATTTAGGTTTTTGTTTGTAAGTTGACATGATTCTCTCTGTGTGAGTGGTCTTAGTTCATCTGCTCTTTTCTAGACTGCAAATGGATGGAACTTCCACTGATTTGATCGATTTGAAACTTGGTATCTAGTTACTTCAATGACGTTGCAAGGGTATTAAATATCATAACCTTAGCCGGTTGCTGCAGCATCATTTGCAAGATGCTAAACCCTACTAGCATACTGCAGAGCTCATTGAAATTGCCTTAATGGATTGGTTATTGTGATCAGGGCTAGATGTTAGAGCAGGTTAGAGTAATGAGGATAAATTAATGATGGATTATGAGCTACTTTCTTTCATTCAATCCAAATGAAATTTTAACATAGGTTATACTTCCAGAACCCATGGCTTCACACATGCTAAAAGTACAAAAAAACTCTGGCTTTTCAGGAAGCATTTTTGAAATGGGCTCAATAGTTTCTGAGCTTAAAACACTTAAACATATTGTAAACTTTAGTTTTGCATAATTTATGGAAGTCTACCCGATTTGTTGTGATTTATGACTACTGATCCGCCCCATTGGGTAGCAGCATGGTGATATGCAGCCTAGAGCCTTCCTCAATAAACATACTATCAAATTCAAAAAGAATTTTTCAAATCAGATTAGTACTTCCTAAGATTAGTGTCAAACAAATATACAAACTCTGCTTCTATAATATTAATCGGAGAGATTACTGCTTATAGTGATTGTGTGTATGAATCTGTTACTTGAATTAAAGTTGTAGAGTTCAATTCGGACTACAAACACGTGAGGTGGTTAAATAAATGAATAACTATGTTTTATGTTAACCTTAACCTGATGATGCCACCAAGATGGCCAGCATCTGAGTGCTGAGTAAACAAATAAAATAGAGAATCTAAACTTAGCTACACATATTTAATGTATATTATTAAATTAAAATATCAATGAATCTTTCTAGTTACTTCAGTTTTTGATTTATTGACTGCATATTATTTTTGACTTTTTAAATGGTAGTTTTAGAGAGATTCACCAACTTTATTCACTTATAAACTTGTATATAAATATTTTAATATTAAATTCAACTGTTTTTAACATTTTCTCCATATTTTTCTTGTCTTAGATACTAATTTTTTCAAGCTTTTATTTATTTAACTTGCAATGTTTGTATGTATGTTTGTTCGGGTCAAATCTTGTAACTGAATTTTAAAAGCAATTATCCCCAAATGATTGAGCTAAAATTTGTGTGCAAGTGCAGTGGCATCGTTCTACATCCAACATGGCGATTTCTAACGGTGGTAGACTATGTTTTTTATACACCCCCATGATATGGATATCAAATGAAAGGGTTTGAGATGGATACAATAAACACCTAAAAATAAAAATAAACTTAAGTATATTAAACCCATTTATTACATTACACAATTTATCTTTTTATATGAGTATATAGAACAAAGTCGGGTTTGTTACAATACTTATAACTCAAGAACTTCTGGACCGATTTTCATGATCTTTGTTTTGTTGAATGTCTTCACCACGAATAGCAGAATAACTATTAAAACTTCAGAAAAAATTATGAAAATAAAAGAAAATGTATATGGCTAAAGCTGGCTAATAACTATTTATATCAATTTAAAATGTGCCTAGGGACGAACCTGAGCAAAGCGAGGGTGAGCCGCTAGTATGATATAAAAGCTTGTTTTAAAAAATGTGTTTCTTAATATTAATTTATTTAAATGCAATACAATTGATTCAATGTCATTTGTTTTTTCAGCTTATCAATTCAGTACTGCATCAGGTTGCAAGCGAAGCAGATCTAGTGAACGATGCCATTATTGTTAAATTGAATGGCCTCGTACATCATGATGACAAGATTGCCCTTAAAAGTATTACAGCACAGGTATTCTTCTTCTTCTTCTTACACGGCTTTAGAAGATGGTAATCTATACATATAATAAAACTGTAGAGGTTGAATGCCTGTACATAAAAAAAATTTGCTAAAAACTGAGTCAGGGGGGTGTAAGAAGAAGAATAAAACAAATCTAGATTGTTTTCGAATTTTTTGTTTCTCTGTCTGTTTGTCTGTTTGTACGGGATAATCTCCGAAACTGTTGAACCGATTTGAAAGAAATTTTGCATGGTGGTACATTATATCCCCAGTCAATATTTTAGATACTTTCATCCCGGAAAATTAAAGAGTTCCTGTGGGATAGTTAAAAAACTATAGTAACTTACACAGCTCAGTACACAAAAACTTTTGATTGGATTTTAATGAAACTTTACAATAATATAGTTCTTTGCTATATAAGTCTACTTTTTATCCCGGAAAAATGTACAGTTCCCGTGGTTTTGTTTGTCTAGAGGTTGAGCTGTTAGTAATTTAAATAAATTTTTGTTTCTTTTTTTGTAATGTTAGTACTTTGATTCGTTCAGTGTATAATGTTACCATCAAATAATTTGTACACAATATGACTTTTTCTATTTAATTTTAAATTGGTACTAAATAAAAAAAAATAGATTTTACTTTTACTAGCTTATATCTAAGCGAGTAGTTCGCCCTTGCTTCGCTCGGGTTCGTCCCTAGGTACGTTTTAACGGTTTATATAGAATAGTTAGTCTATACATTATATGATAGGTAGCCTATAGCCTACCTCAATAAATGGGCTATATAATGCAAAAAAAAATCTAATCGGATTAGCTATCTAATGCAAAAATATTTTTTCAAATCAAATTAGTAGTTCATAAGATTAGCGCGTTCAAACAAACAAACTCTGCCTCTTTATAATATTATTATAGATAATTTAATTATTTTAGATGCAATTAGAGAATGCGGTGGGGGACCGGGTGTTTGGAACTTTTGCTGAGAATTTAAGTTTTCTTCTCAGCTGTCTTATGAGTGGAGTAGATAGGAGGTGTAAGAGTATGGTGTTTATTTTGGAGGAGTTTGATATGTTCTGCCATAGCAATAAGACCCAGACATTGCTGTACAATTTGTTTGATATAACACATAGCAAGCAAGCTCCTATGTGTGTTCTTGGTGAGTCTGTTTTTAGCTTCTTTTACATAAGTACCTTTAAGACACGTCTTTTTTTAATGTTGAAAATTGTATTTACGGATACCACCTGTAGACATACAGGTTTGGGACTCACCGGCAAAGCCAGTACTACCCAATAAAACCTAACAGAACCTTGTACGTATAATTTTATTTTATGCATTTAGTAGAAAGTTGTTATTTCATTACAAACAGACACTTTTATTATATACATTTGTCAGAGATGAGATATTTTCCCGCATTAAAAAGTATCCTATACCCGGATAACCAGCTATCATCATACCAAATTTCATCAAAATCCGCCTAGTGGTTTTCTCGTGATACGTTCCCAGACAGAATATTTAAAGTACAGATTTCACTCAGTTAGAATTTTATTATATTTATAAATAATTTCAGGTATAACAAATAGAATAGATGTAATGGAGTTGTTGGAAAAGCGAGTGAAGTCCCGTTTCTCACATCGCCATATATTTATGTTTCCAAATGAAGCAGAGCAAGGGTGTAAGTCGCCCGTTCATACTTACAAAGATGTGCTGGTACAATGTTTAAGTTTGCCATTTTCTGTGAAAAAGGATAAAAAAAGAAAAAGAAAGTCTGTTGGTAAGTTCTTATTTACCCAAACAATATGTTAGTAATTTAAATAAAACTATCTTTTCGGATTATTTCGTGGATTTATTTTGATTTTTGAGTATCCTATATGTTGACCCGGATAACCAGCTATCATCATACCAAATTTCATCAAAATCTGTCCAGTGGTTTTCTCGTGATGCGGTAACAGACAGACAGACAGACAAAAATTCTAAAAACTATAGATTCGGACTCTGTATCGATAATAATGTCTATTTCAATTAGATTTTCCCAAAAATATTTAATGTACAGATTCTACTTAGTTACAATTTTATTATATGGATAGTTGTCAAATATTCGCGCTAAGCTAAGAAAGTATAATATGTTAGTTAGGTGTACATTTATATTTATATTAGTAGTAACGTGCTCGTTTGGGAAACCGAGTGAAGCGGGTTCAAATCCCGGGGGTCGCACCAATGATATTTTTATACAAGTCATTGGAAATGATTACCACTTGCCTTACGGTGAAGAAAAACATCATGAGGGAACTTGCATATCTAATAGAACCTAGCAAGTTTTCGAAAGGCATTTTGTATGCTTTACAATAATTTTGGTCACGGAAGAGACTAAGATTTTAGACATCTAGATTTTGAAACTCAAAATCAAAATAAATCCGCGAAAAAATCCGAAAAGATGGTTTTATTTAAAAAATCTACCAGCGTTGGTGTAAAACTATGTATATGTGGTGCATGATGTAAAACAAACGTCAGTCCAATGGGACTTCAATATAATTTTGTAAGCGCTCAAATATATGTATGTATACTAATATAAAAAGTTGAAAAATTTGTTATTTAAACACTAATCTTTGGATTTACAAAAAAAAATGTCATCCTGGTAATTCCAAAAATTATTGAGTTCAAACAAACAAAACAATCTCATCACTTTTATATAGATACATATTAGCGACTGTAGTAAAAGGTATTCAAAATGTTGACTTGATTATTAATAACTTATCATTTCACAAAATTTAGTTACAAATCGGTTCAGTACTTTTAGCGTAACACGCGCACACACAGACAAATATACAAACAGACTAAAATTTCCATAACTATTGTTTTGGGATCTATATTCTCTACACATACGTTACAGCCATTGTTTTTAAAAAATATTTAATGCACAGATTTCACTAAGTTACTATTTTATTATATGTATAGATTGTCAAAGATTTTATTTATTTGTTTAAAGCGACAGAAGATATGGACACAGATAATACAAATACCATCCAATTTTCAATTCCAATGGAAATTCTAACTAAATACAAAATGGATGCCACACAATTCCAACAAATACAATCTAATTTTGCAGAAGATTGGAATGCTCACATTCAAAGTCTAGTCGGAGACCAAAAAGTATTGGATTCGTTGGAAAAATTATGTTATTATACAGTTAACGAACAAATATTCAGAGATATATTGGTTAGTTATGTATGTTTTTATCTTTGGTTGGGTACATCTATACTAATATTAGAAACTAGCGACTCGACCTCGCTTGGGTTTGTCCCTATTTGTTTCCACATATACACATTCATCCCCATTTTCACCCCCTTATGGGATGATTTTTGGGATAATAACTATTTCACTCACTCACTTTTCATATCATGAGATTTCAGAAAACCTATTTTAATAAAAAAAAAACTTAATCTTCTTCTATACAAAGCTTGTTCTGACAATAATAAACACAAAAATTATGCAATTTGGTGAAATCGTTCCGAAGTTATGCGCGTACATACATTTCGGTGATTCATTTTTATTTATATAGATAGATGTGAAAATTCGTGAGGGTGGATGGACGGATGTTTGTTACTCCATCACGCCAGAACGACTGAACGGATCTGGATGAAATATGACACAGAGATAGATTATAGTGTGGAATAACAAATAGGCTACTTTTTATCCCGGAAAAATGTACGGTTCCCGTGGGATAGATTTGTTTTTGTTTAGGGACGAACCCGAAGCGAAGGTGAATCGCTAGTTTTATAAATACGAAAAGAACTGTCTGTCTTGTACCTTTTCACGCTTAGTTCGTCATCATCCAGATCCGTTAAGCTGTTCTGGCGTGACTGAGTAACAAGCATACATACATCCTCACAAACTTTTACATTTATAATATTAGTATGGATTAGTATCATAGTATTGAGATAATTTTAAAATAGAAGGTAATGTTTTAAACAAACCTACTGGTTTCTATAAGGATATAAAAAAAATCTTCTTAATGTGTATAATAAATAATAACTAACGACTTACCCTTGCTTTGCTTTGATTTTAGTTATGTATTTGTGTGTGTGTGTGTTTGTTTGTTATCTATAAATCTGTAGGGCTGGACAGATTTGAATGAAACTTATAGACTTAGAGTAATTTAACACATAAGATATTGTTACGTATCTAAGGACGCGCACGAGCAACGTGAGAGTAATTTGCTAGTATTAATGTAAATTAAAAGATCTTATTTAATGAATTCAAAAAACAACAAAGATATTTTTTTTTCAGTTTCAAATAGTATCGAAATTGTCACCAACAAATCCATTCATAGATTCCCACCTGCTTTCATGTGCCATAGACAATGCAGTGGCGCCGGAGCATAGAGTTAAGTTGCTACAATCATTGTCTATACTGGAATTGTCTCTGGTCATAGCTATGATGCATGGTATGGAGATATTTGATGGACAACCGATGAATTTTGAAATGGTGTTGCACAGGCAAGTGTTGTTTATTTTTTACCTGACTGCGATTCCTTAAAGGGAGGTTATGTGTTTGATTTGTTTGTATGTATGCCTGATCCTATGTTCCTTCGTAATTACTAAACGGCTTAACCGATTTTGATGATTCACACGTCGTTTAAAATGTTTATTTTTCCAAGCCTTCTAAAAATGAATTACAAAGATGGAAACAAGTCAGTCGGGTCTTTTTTAATATTTATCATTTATTTTCTGCTGTTGCGAGGTCTCATTAGGAGTAAAGAAGAAATAATTCAATTATATGTCAATAGATTTTTTATTTAGAGTGTAAAATTCTGTGAGATTAATAAAAAAAAATATTCCAAAAAGTTTATTCTATTTAAACAATACGTAAAAAAAATATTAATAAATGAAAAATGCATTTTTAACTTAAAATTTTTTTAACTCATTATTGAAGAATCTGGTTTAAGTGAATAAAAAACAAAGGATCGGCAATATCCTAATGAATAGATTTAAAGTTTAGAAGTTACATTTGACATGTCATGGACATACCCAGTACTTACTTTTTGGGCATAGATAAAAATGTATTTTTAGCGACATCTGTGGAGTATTTGTAAAAACCAGTGGTTGGGAATGCATGTACCATAGACATAGATTTGTTACCAGGACAAAAAAAAACAAAAATTTTGACATTTCCTGTCCTTTACCTGAAGCCTTCATATACGTTTTCAATCAAATCAATTAAGTTTTATAATTAATATATATGTTAGTTTTAAGGTATATATGCTATGGGCCTCTGTTTAGATATTTAAGATCTTTTTGTAAATATTGCCTGAAATAAATGATTAAATAAAGAAAAAAAAATACACTATACAATATACATATATGTATGTGTAGGCACAAATATATAAACATACATACAGACATCCTTTTAATACTCTGCTATTTTTGATTAAGATTTTTTAATAGGTTTTTTTATAAATAACGTTTTTGATAGATTTTATTAAAAAAGTTAAAAAGTGTGACATAAAAAAGGCGTACAATTATATGCGCGTTTTTTTTTCAATAGATTGAAATCATCTAATATTGCTGCAAGGGCCATACAACGACACGTTTCTCTCAGTTTGTAGTGACCCTTACTTGCTGTGCCAGCGGTCGCGGGTTCGAGTCCCGCTGGGGGCAATCATTTGTGTGATAAGCACTAATGTTTGTACCCCAGTCATGGGTGTTTATATTTATAATATGTATGTATTTAAAGTTATATATGTGTATTGTATCAACTATCTGGTATCCATAACACAAGCCTCGTAGCTTACCATGGAACTAGATGGTGCTGTGTGTTAATATACAAACATATTTATAAAATTTATTTATGTACATATATTTTTAACAATAATCAATAATATTTTCAGGTACACAAAATTCGCGAACACCAACTCGTCAACACAAACAGTACCACGACCAGTGGTTCTCAAAGCGTTCGAACATTTGCAAGAGTTAGAAATAATAATGCCAGTAAAAACAACGGATTCGATATACAATACAGATACAACTACGAGTAGAGTCCAAAAAGAATACAAATTATACACCCTGGCTTTGCCTATTGATGATATCAGAGAAGCAGTCAAAGGTTTCAAAGCTTTGCCCACTGAAATTAACCATTGGTTCAATAGTTCAATTGTTTGAAGTGTTTTTTTTTCTGTTTTTTTTTTCATGATTAAAAAATTTTTTTTTAAAACATGTGACTTTTTATTAATGCATATTACAATTTTTTTTTGTTAACTTGTTCTCGTCTTTCTAGTTCGCTTTTTTTATTTTAGTAAATATATATTTTTTTATTTACAACTTCTTAGTTTTGATCAGTAAGACATTTTTGGTTTTATTTAACAATTTCCTAAATTATTTTTAAATATATAAGTTGTATATATTTTTGTAATAGACTCTTAGAAACCTGTATTTTGATATCCCGCTCGATCAATTTGGACGAAAAAAATCTTTTCAAGACAAATTGGCGCCACAGATCCGCCATTTTGACTTTTGCTATGATAAGTACTGGCGTTATCAAAACCAATCTAGAATTTAAAGACGTTTGACGGCGGCCTTATCGTTGTAGTTTATTCTATAAAAATAGCATAAAAATCACGTTAGTTGTATGGGAGCCCCCTAAATATTTATTTTATTCTATTGTTTTGTATTTGTTGTTATAGCGGCAACAGAAATCCATCATCTGTGAAAATTTCAACTGTTTAACCGTGATACGGTTCATGAGATACAGCCTGGTCACAGACGGATAGACAGACGGACAGACAGCGGAGTTTTAGTAATAGGGTCCCGTTTTACCCTTTGGGTACGGAACCCTAATAAACTACTCTAAAATACTCAGTTGTGAACGCAGAGCCCGAACCATGAGTTCGAAACGTGCGGTTTCTCGATAACCAATCACAGCGCGAGGACCTTGGGCCCCCATCAGCTGCTGGCATACCTCGATAAGCTATCTTTCTTACACCTAAAAAAACTTTTTTGTAGTACTAATTTGTAAACTTTATTTACGTCTGGGAAGGGTTTAAAACCGCTAAATTCGTCTGGCGATTTGCAAATATTATTGAAAATTACTCAATAAATACGCGATTAAAATTTCAGATTGCCTAAATTATGTTTTTTGGAATAAAAAAAAAAGAGTCTTTGGAGAGGTCTGGCAATACTTATAACCGACAAAAACGTCTGGAGTTCTTTTTTGATAAAACAAAAATCAAGTTGCCAAAAAATATGTTTTTATATATTTTTTGCAAAAATTGTATACTGCGCAGTAGCGAAATAACCGCTAAAGCTATACCAGACTCGCGGGACTGGACTCGCCGATTCACGAAATTATATTTTAGGATCTTCCCAAAATTCGTCGCGAGCTCTCGGAATATTTAACCGTTCAGTAATTACAAGGCAACATAGGGTTGGACTAAACATTTAAGGTATAACTGCAGTCTGTACAGGAAACCTGAATGTCTGAGAGAAGCTAGCAAGTTTGCGAAAGACATGCTCAGTCCGCCCGCACTTGGCTGGAAAAAATAAAAAAAACAGTGACTCCCAATCACATCTATTCACACAGTTAACATTACAATGCAGTTAAGACAATTAAATTAAATCACAAACTTTGAAAAAATATTTATAAACACAAAAGAATCAGTTCAAAATTTGACAATTATTATTTTATCTTTAATTGTTAGTAATCAATATTCTATATATTACATTCATATTATGTACTAGCTTTGCCCGCGGCTACGCACGCGTTCAGATGACCAAAAACCAAATTCTTAGGTTTTATATATTAGTCTTACATTGCAGTTTTTGTATTTTTTCTCAGAAATGAGATATTTTCCCGCGGTCAAAAGTATCCTACCTGGATTAACAGCTATTACCATACCAAATTTCATCAAAATCCCTCCAGTGGTTTTTCTGTGATGCGGTAAGAGACAGACAGACAAAAATTCTAAAAACTATAGATTCGGCCTCTGTATCGATAATAATGTCTATTTCAATAAGATTTTCCAAAAATATTTAATGTACAGATTCGACTTAGTTACAATTTTATTATAATAATGTATAGATTATTATGTTCTACTATATCGAAGTGTTCTCAAACTTTATACTATAAAGTAACTACGATCCTTAATTTTAAAAACATCTATATTTTTTTATCTCATTATAGTTTGAGTGTAAGTGTCCTAAAAACTAAACGTTTTATGGTTAAAGTTATAAATAAATGTACATATTTATGGTATACTGCCATCATAAAAAAGGCCGTAAGTTCTATAATATTATTATATAATATAAACATAAGTTTTACAACAATATATATATATATATATATTACTAAGACAAAACTACAAATGTCTCCAAATTAACTTAGACGAAGTTGCGGCCTTCTTTTTTTATACTTACATAATTACAAATAAATACATATGTTGGGACATTAGTTTTAAGAGAACTTTTGCATGAGATTTTCGTTCTAGTACTTTTTTGATCGATGACTAGTGCTTTAACTAAAAAACTACTACAACTAACTAAAAAAAAAAAAGAAAACTTCGGTATAAAAAAAAAACTATATTTTTTACAAATCTTGCAATCGTTAAAATCAACAGCCGTGTATGAAGTTTTATTGAGAAATTATTTAAAATTTTCATTCATTAATTCAGAATACGGTGAGGTAGTGAGTTTACACTAAAAATTTATATAATCGCCAACATATCATCGTCTTTAGTGCTTATTTTTTCAAACCACATATACTTATTGTACCTACTTTACAGAAAAGATTTTTCTTCAATGATTTTAAAGAAAAAAAACTATAACAAGTGAACTTTATTTAATGATTTATATATTATAAATAGGCACAGTTTGTTTGTTTGAATGCGCTAATCTCAGGAACTAATTCGATTAGAAAAAAATTTTTGCATTAGTTAGACCTTTTATTGAGGAAGGCTATAGGGTATATATCATCATTCTACTACACAAGGGAGCGGAGTCATGATAAATGTCAACAAATCGGGCAGACTTATGTACATTATTGTAAAACTGATTTTATAATCAAACTTGACGCGGGTGGAACAGCGGGGCGCTGCTAGTATTAGATAAAATACATTTTTTCGGCTTTATTAAAGTAAAAAGTAAAGTAAGCTACGAGACTTGTGTTATGGACACCAGATACTTGATACACTACACATATATAACTTTAAATACATACATATGTATTATAAATATAAACACCCATGACTGGAGTACAAACATTCATGTTCATCACACAAATGAATGCCCCCAGCGGGACTCGAACCCGCGACCGCTGGCACAGAAAGTAGGGTCACTACAAACTGAGCCAAACGTGTCTAAAGTGTATTAATCTTTGGGTACACTGGTCGTTGGGACAAATAAGCACTGAGACGAAGTTATGTCAAAAGAAAGCCTTACATATTATTTTATTAAGTAAAATCGGATTTATTTTGATTTTTGGTCACGGGAGAGACTAAGGTTTTAATTAATGACTTAACCGTTAAAACCTTAATCCACAGTCTCTCCCGTGACTATTATTGCTGTAAAGCTTTCGAAACGTCGAGAACCACCAATCAAAATAAATCCACGAAAAAAAAATCCGAAGAAGAAATAAGAAGAAGATAGTTATATTTCAAATTTTAAATATTTGCGAAAATCTAAGAAAGTAATAGGCGTCAAAGTATGAAATTGAAGTTTTATTATAATAGGTACTTCGAATTAACATTTTTTTTATTAGACATAGAACCTTCATGCTTTGAAGTTTTTGAGTAAAGCTTTTTTCACATGGTACCTATGTAGTTCTTCTTTTAAAAAACGTGCAACATTTGATTATCGACTTTCAGTTGTTTTTTTTATTCAGCTAAGACAAGAAAGATGGATACTTCGAAAATTCGAGTGATTTTTGAATACGAGTTCCGACGCGGAACTAAAGCGGCAGAAACAGCTCGCCATATCAATGTTTCGTTTGTTTATTTACTGGCATCGTTTTAGTAACTATAAGTGTACTTGTATTTGAAACTCTTTGGTCGGTATTTCCCTACTCTTTTTTTATTTTTTTATTTGTCAAAGGATCGTTAGATTTAAAGCTTTTTACGTTTGAACTACCGGGGATTTCCCGTTTTATAGGAGCCTTATTGACGATATCTGTGTTCGTAAGCGTAACCGTTTCTCCTGATGAGAGAGATTCTATACTTTGTATGACTGGCATTGGGTAATTGTTTAAAGGAGTTTTAATTTCTGATGGGGCTTTAATAAGATAATATGTTGTACTTCGGCTATTTAGTGGATCTAATGGTGCGCTATCGATGATGTTACTGTGATTATTTTCTATTAATTGAAGCGGCGGAGGTTCACTTACTGTGGAGAGTTTTGTTTGGACATTTTGGTTGTTAGATTTGATGTTATAAGCGACTTTTGATAGAAGATTTATCACATTGTGACTGTTGTAGTCGACCGTTGGATTTGACGTCTGATGTGACGATTTAGTTGAAATTTTAACGAGTTCTGGAACGGGTATTTCGTTAAGACTAATTTTATTTACATTTTCATTCAATTTTGATATATCATCGATATTAGGTTTAACATCATCATCATTATCGCTGTTGAGAATTATTAAGTCCGTATAGTTATCGCTCGACATCTCTGAATTGGTTTCATCTATTCCGTTGTTTATTTCGTCTATTCCGTTATTTATTGATATTCCAGTATTTATTTCGTTTATTTCGTTAACTTCGTTACTTATTGATGTTTTGGTATTTATTTCGTTTATACCGTTATTAACTGTTATTCCGGTTCTTATTTCGTTTATACTGTTTTTTATTTCGTTTATTTCGGTTTTTATTGACGTATCCAAATCTGATACATCTTTTAGCAGTTTATCTACTTCGTTTAGAGCTTTAACTTGTACATCGTCGCTACCATCTTGTTGTATTTCAGTTGACATTTTTTTATCTTCTTCTTTACGGTCATCTTTTTCATTTTTTTTATTGACCCCTTTTGAAAAAGGTTTGATATTAAAATATTTAAGTCTGTCACTTTTCTGCCGTTGCCATTCGTCAACACTGTTGTAAGTTACAACTTCTTTGGAATCATCTTCATCTGGGAGCTTACAATCATTTTTCTTACGGCGACGCTTTTTTTGTTTCAACGGTACGTGGTTACCGACAGGTATTTTGAAATCTCTCTGTAATAAAGTATATTTAATTAAAAATTAAATTGCACAGAGTATTTTTTTTTAAATAAATCTTAAATAAACTAATTAATATGCATGTGAATTAAATAATAAAATAATTTAATTATTTATTTTGTCTAGTTACACTACTTACTACACTAGTGTGTTTAGGTTAATATAAATAATAGAATTGAAATACAACAATGTAAATTGAATCTTAAATGGAATGCTTAAAGTTGTTTACACAAAAGCAAAAAAAAAAAATTAAAAGCGCGCTCCAAAGTTCAAATGAGCGCTCACTCGGTGAGGACATTTTTTGTCGCTGATTGTGATTTTTGATCGATGGAGAAATTCACAAGAAAAAAATATTGTGACATTAAAAAAACTGGCTATCGACAACAGCACCACCGGGTCCAACTACAGCTAAGAACCTTTCAAGTGACCTATCATCACAATCGTTCCTGCTTTTAAATAGAATTACGAACACAGGCACAACAGAATTTTATATATAGCACATCTAGATAAAAAGGGGCACAATCCAAAAAAACATTTCTCTTTTTCTATTTGATATCTACACTAATATTATAAAGAGGTCAAGTTTGTGAGTTTGTGACGTTGTAGGAGGTAATCTCTGGATCTACTGAACCGATTTAGATGAAATTTGGTAAGAAGATAGTTTGAGGCCATGGGAAGGACATCGGATACTTCTTACGCCGGAAATCATCCCTTAAGGGTGTGAAAATGGGGATGAAAGTATGTATTGGGAAGCAAGCCAGGGAAGCGAGGGCGAGTCGCTAGTATTAAAAATAATCTTATATGTTCTTGTATAAAGATATTAATTTGATCAATGGCTTGTCATCAAATAGCAATATCACTTGTAATATATATTAAACACCAACAATTCCAAAAATAGTTTTATCTTTTCGTGTAATAAATTAATAGTCATGACAAAAACATCAGTATACGTAGTTCTTAACGCAGATTCCTATAATAATAATAACTCGAATGTGGATTATTTGGAGTTGTGCTACTCTTCATCTAGGTGTGCGATATATTCCCCCAACGTGCGTTCACCTTGTCGTGGTGGGGGGGCTCAGTAGTGCCCGGCAATCCAACCGGGCGCGAAGCCAAGAAACGCACAGGGAGGTTGCCCACTTCGGTGGGCGGTGGGAGGTGGCCCTCTTCGGGGGGCGGAGTACCATGCGGGTTGCTCCTGGTACTTCTCTGATAGCAGAGTGGACCTTGGAGCGACCCCATGGTTGTGGAGGTCTGCTTCGGCAGACCTGCCGTCTGGGCGTCGTAGTTGAATGCGTAAGCGATCCTGCGACGCCCCATTAAGACGGGGGAAGGTTTTGTTGGGTTTTAGTGGGTAGTATTGGCTGTATTACGCCGGTGAGTCCCACACGGCGTGCGTAAATGCATTTCCCAACGTTAAAAAAAAAGGTGTGCGATATATACTTATAATTACTTGTATTCATCCCTTTTTTTAACGTCCCACTGCTTCAACACGAGGGGGATCAGGCCATAGTCCACCACGCTGGCCAAGTACTGGCGGACTGAGCGTGTTTTTTGAAAACTTGCAAGGTTCTTTCAGACATGCAGGTTTCCTCACGATGTTTTCCTTCACCGTTAAGACAAGTGGTAATCATGGTGGAAATGATTCGCACATAAAAATATCGGAGGTGCGAGACCCGGGATTTGAACTCGCTTCACGCGGTTTCCCAAGCGAGCGCGTTACCACTGGACTACCACTGGACTACCACTGCCTCCTGACTTACATTACACTGTAATTACTTACATTTACCAAAATGTTGAGCATGTTAGATATATCTTTGCTGATGCTGTTATTTAACTGCTTTATTTCACCTTCTGATGTAGCTTTTGTATCGTTCCTTTTATTTAATATTGCGTTGCTTGTGTATTTTTTGACCTGCGAATAAAAAAATGATTATATAGAAATTAAAATTTGTAAAGTTTTTATGTCCCAAATATGCATAGCTACCCTTATACATGGTTTATTTATTAATATAAAGACTGCTTCGGTGGTGTAGTGGCTAGCATGTACGGCTGCACACCCGGAGGTCCTGGGTTCGAGTCCCGGGTCGGGCCAAGTTTAGTTATTGAGTCTTTCTGTATAGTAAGACTCAGTAACAGCCCGGAGTTGGGAAACTGGCGGTGTGCCACCCCCGTGCCGAGGCAGAGCACGTGTCGCGTCGGTCCTGTGGAGTATGAGAGCGACAGGGACAGAGAGTGCACGTAGTGTCTGCGCTCTCCCTCACACGCGCTGCACTATAGTATCTCCTGCGCAGTTGGCTAGTCTCAATTCAAAGTAAAGAAAAATATAATTATTTTAACTTAATCTAGCAAAATCTTAAGAATCTTGAGCGACACCTAAACAAACTAAATAATAAATTATTTTTTGAAGTTTTCAGATCAACGCCATTTATCTTCTATATAAGAAAACAAAATAAAATAAAGTCTCTCCCGTGACCATGATCGCTGTAAAGCATTCGAAACGTCGGGAACCCAAAAAATCCAAATAAATCCGTGTAAAAATCCGAAAAGATAGTTTTATTTTAAAATGTCAAATATTCGCGTAAATCTAAGAGAGTAGTATTATGAAAACAAAATAAGTTAAAAGGTTAAGCCAAGTTCGTAGTACGAGGCATCTGAACTAGCACAATACATACCACAATTTGTTTGAACTGCTTTCTTATTTCATCATGATCCATAACTGGATTGGTTTTGGAATTCGATGAAGAATCATCAAATTGTGAACAACTATCCATTTTCGTTGTTTCTTCTTTATCAGCGTTGTTTTGTTCAATTGTTTCAATAGATTTCTGTAATAAATAGTCATCTTTATATATATAATTCTTCTGTGAGTGTGTATGTCACTGAACTTCTCTCAAACGACTGGACCGATTTTGATGAAATTTTTTGTGTGTGTTCAAGGGGATCTGGGAATGGTTTAGATTCACGATTTGAATAATAATTTTCATCAAAAAAATTATTAAAAAAAGTTTGAAATTTTCAAATTAAAGACGTGTAGACAGGATAACGTCTGTCGGGTCCGCTAGTATTATATAGTTTATTATTACTAAAAATTTAACTTTATTATATGAGTTACTAGCGACTCACCCTCGCTCCGCTAGAATTCGTCCTTACGTTTTAACGTTTAGTATATATTTCTCAGAGATGAGATATTTTTTCAGAAGTAAAAAGTCTCCTTTATATATAATATAGTATAGTTGACCCTGATAACCAGCTATCATTATACCAAATTTCATCAAAATACCTTCAGTGGTTTTTCCGTGATGCGTTCCCAGACATACAGACAAAAAATCTTAAAAACTATACATTCGGCCTCTGTATCGATAATAATGTTCATTACAATAAATTTTTCAAAAAATATTTATCTTTAGATTTGGCTTAGTTACAATTTAATTATATGTATAGATATATTTTCTAAACTGATTATAATTAAAATTTTAAACTACCGCGACGTATGGCGTTAAAGTTAAAACGAATTACATGAGCTCAAACTCGAAGGTTTTTGTGGTAGCCACTGATGAGTTCCACAATCCACCTTCTAGCTGCATTATTAGATTGGCTCGATGCTATCAAATTATTGTATTATCTGGCATTTTAAATACATAGAAAAATTAGGCTCTCAGTTCCTGGGTGAAGCCTAAACATAAATTCTTAAGCAATATTAAAAACAAATCTATCCCACGGGAACCGTACATTTTTCCGGGATAAGCAAAAAGTAACCTATTCCAGACTATTATCTATCTCTGTATTTTACATCCAGATCCATTCACCCGTTCTGGCGTGATTGAGTAACAAACATCCATCCAAACATAAACTTTCACATTTATAATATTAGTATCAGTGGCAGTGGTAGCCCAGTGGTAACGGGCTCGCTTGGGAAACCGAGTGAAGCGGGTTCAAATCCCGGGTCTCGCACTTCCGATATTTTCATGTGCGAATCATTTCCAACATGATTACCACTTGCTTTACGGTGAAGGGAAACATCGTGAGGAAACCTGCATGTCTGAGAGAACCTAGCAAGTTTTCGAAAGACATGCTCAGTCCGCCCGCACTCGGCCAGCGTGGTGGACTATGGCCTGATATCGTATTGAAGGGAAGCCCACACCCAGCAGTGGGACATTTATTAGTATCAGAAAGACAGACTTATACTTACATTTAGTGCGTGTTCGTTGCTATGCGCGTGAGTTATAGGCGCTACTTGTGCCGTCGAAATCGTCTTATTCATACGACGAATTTCATCAAGATCGGACAATTCTACTTTCTTCGCAATTCTCGTCAGTCTGTTCAAAGTTACACTCACCGGCTTACATTGTTCGAGTAAATTTATATTTCTTTCACTCCAAAATTCATTCGAACAACATGTCTTCGACAATTTCAAGTATCGCATTAAAAATTTACGTTTATTTTGCATTTTTTTTCGTATTTTATTGTCTTGGATCGTTATTAGATTATTTGTGTGGGTTGTTATTTGATTATCAGTTTGGGCTTTGACATTCGGCGTCGGCATGTATGGTCTACATTTGGACAGTTGTTTCGAATTAATTTTAATTTTTTCCGATAATTTCTTCGTCCTAATCCTTTTACAACGTATGACGTTGTCACGTGAAAATTTTTGCCATGGACTTAAATTTTCTAAAGGAATCAATATTACATGCGATAATTGGATTAATTTTTTATCTGTAAAAAAAAATAAAAAAAAAAATGAGTGCGTGCAACCTGTACGCGCGGTTGAAGTAAAACTTCTTTGGCGGTGTGGCAGATAACGCAATTACGTAACAAATCAAAATATAAATATATGTATGTATAATAATTTTTATAAAATTATTAGTAATAAATATTCATTTTTATAAGTAATAATAAATAAAAATAATTATTATAAAAATATACTTAAATTATTTTTTAAATTATTAATAATTTTGCCTCTCATTTCCGCGAAAATAATTTTCCCAATGAATTGACTAATTTTCGCAATAAAATATCAATTAAAATAGAATGGAGTGCGGGGATTCGGGCGTTGGTCTTGGGGTCTCAAAATCTCTATATGCCCATATCTCGAGAAAAGGTGGGAGTTAAAAACAATTCCTACGTAATCTTCTAATATATAAAATTGTCGTGTCACAACAGTGTTTGTAACAAAACTCTTCCGAAACGGCTTGACCGATTCTAATGAAATTTTGTGTGTATTCAGTAGGTCTGAAAATAGAAAGTAAACTATTTTTCATATCCCTAAGTTAAAGATAAGTGTGGTCCACCCCAAAAAAAAATTATTTAGACAAAAATTTTTATTTTGATTTTCTTACGATTCGGAATTAAAATACATACAAACCTAAATGTTCACTAATGTTTTATAAGTCAAATTGTGCAATTTCTCACATAGAGCGATGGATAGTTGAGAGCTAAGCGTCGCATTGTGGCAGATCTGTTTCTTTTTAGTGTATAATTTCATTTATAAATATTTTAACTTTGTAAATGTTTATTGTTTATTAAGTTTAAAAACCATATAAAATCTTAATTAAGAAGGGGGATGGGTCCCAGAAATCTTAGGGGGTAGGTGGGGATCAAAAATGTCCACAACTGATCTTACGTAATAAATAACCCCTGAATCCACCCTTGTAAATTCATATTATTATATACTAGCATTTTCCTGCGGCTCCGCTCGCATATTAAATTAATCACCAACATATCATATACTAAAACCTTCTCCGAAACACGCTGCATCTTATAGTATGAGTATCATTACGATAGGTTCAGTAGTTATCGCAGTATAACCGAACAAAAAAATCGGCTCCCCATTTATCACTATAGATATTTTCCCCATATTATATCCTTTAAAGTGCAATAATAAAAAAATAAAAAAATCTACACTTACCTACGACGACCTCGTTAATATCTTTATCATTTACGACATCTGGTTCTAACTCGTCGCTACCATTTAATATATCTTCAACCAAATCACTTGAAGGCTTTATCGAATCATCACTTGAATGGTTAAAATTTGTGTTTATCTTAAACAATGTTACATCCCCATCAGTATCATCCGTAACTTTTGTATAATTGGACATACGAAATTCATTTCCAACAACATTATTCATTGCAGCATTATTTCTTTCATTCATTTCATATATCCGCAACTCCTTATCGATATCGTAGTCCTCTTCTAGAATGACCGTTGTTTTCATCTTTGAAGGATCTATATTGTTCAATCTCTCTGGTAGTGATGATTCTTCAAATTGTAGTTCTGTTATATTATTTTCTCGTGTAGATTCAGGAATTATAGAGTTTTTGTTATTATAAGTTTTATCATTATCATTATAATTATAAATATCATTATCATTATAATTATAAATATCATTATCACTGTCACTATCGATCACTATAGTTTCTATGATAGATTCAATAACTTGCACGCCATCAACGTGCTCGTCGTGTAATTCTATCAATAGATCGTTCACTGAATAAAAATAATGATATATCAATAAAAAGCCTTCCTAATAAATAAAATAAAACTAAGAATATATTTGTTACATATTTTTCGTGTGGGACTCTTAAATTTTTTTTCTAAAATAAGAGTAGCCAAGTTACTCCATATAACATCAGCTATCTGCCAGTTAAAGTTGCGTCAAAATCGGTTCATTCTCTTCGGAGATCAGCCGGAACAAGCAGACAGACGAAAAATTTAAAAATTGTTTTTTTTTTCTTATAAGTACCGTATAAAATTTCATATGCGTTTAGTAAAAAACTGTTATTTTGACATTACAAACGGACACATCAATTTTATTTATCTGTATCGATTGAAATACGAATTATCAAGGCTTTAAAAACAAATTATTTATTAAAAAAAACAACTTTTTCTTTTAATATTAAATCGAATAATCTTTTAAAAGTTTTTTTTTATTAAGTGAATAGAGATGTTGATGCTTACCATTAACATTTTCTTTAACATTATGTAGTCTCATAGTCTTCAATTCCTGTGGAAAGTAAAGAAAGTTTAATATTATTGACGACACGTTTGGCTCAGTGTGTAGTGATCCTACTTGCTGTGCCAGCGGTCGCGGGGTCGAGTCCCGCTGAGGGATATTCACTTGCATGATGAGCACGTATGTTTGTACTTCAGTCATGGATGTTTATATTCATAATATGTATATATTTAAATTTATGTATGTGTTTTGTATCAACTATCTGGTATCCATAACACAAGCCTCGTAGCCAGGGCTGCCAGATAACAGTCCTTGATTTACCCGATTAATACACCTCAAAATACCCGGTTTATATCGCCGGCGCCAACAGTGAACAGAGTACCCGAAAACAGTTTTTTTTAAGTACTTTATTCATGTTTTATATAGTATATTCTTACATTGCAGTTTTTGTATTTTTTTCTCAGAAATGAGATATTTTCCCGCGGTAAAAAGTATCCTATATTTTGACCCGGATAACCAGCTATCACCATACCAAATTTCATCAAAATCCCCCCAGTGGTTTTTCTGTGATGCGGTAACAGACAGACAGATAAAAATTCTAAAAACTATAGATTCGGCCTCTGTATCGATAATAATGTTCATTTCAATAAGATTTTCCAAAAAATATTTAATGTACAGATTCGGCATAGTTACAATTTTATTATACGTTTAGATAATTTAAAAAAACATTATATTTAACATTTATATAATAATTATTATTTATTACTTATAAAATGAATATTTATTACTAATAATAATTTTATAAAAAAACATTATTTATATTTTGATTTGTTTGAATATAATTACGGCATCTCCCACATCACCAAAGAAGTTTTACTTTAATGGAGCATATTGCACACACTCTTTTTTTTAATAGTATTGTTTTTTTTTTCTAAATCTGATACTACAAATCACTTACTTCGGGTAAAGCAGCAATGTCAGATTCAAAATATATTTGATTATTTTTCACAAGTGTGAGCCAATTGGGCCAGTCGTCTGTCATTATATGTGGAAACCTACAAACATTTAATATAATATATATCTCTTATATATTTAAACGAGCAATTCTTGTATATATATTTAGTACCTGGGCGAACGAGCTTCGCTCGGAGTTTTTGGCCAAAATAACATTAAAAAAAAAAGAAACTAAGAATTTGAATAAATACAAAAAAAAAAACAAAATTAAAAACTTTGTGTCCGATCGGGATACGAACTGAGACACCTGTGGTTGTCAAAATTGCGCTTTGGCCGCTTGACCATGATGCTTATAAGTGAGCGTGCGAAATTATAGAACATAATATTTTACGTGGAATTATTAATTTATTGAAATAATGCAAAAGAAATAATAATAATAATAAAGCTTTATTTATTGTATACATGCTTACTTATAATTTTAAATTATAATTACTCTTACTTAATTAACAATTTTTAACATTGTATTTTAACAGATAATATTTATAACTTATTGGATTATATTTAATTTAACTTCACTTTTTGGTTAGTGACTATTTATTAACTTATAATTTTTTAACTAATAATTTTGTAATTTGGAATTAAATTATTTTAAAAATCTTCATATTATTTGAAATGATATTGTATATATATATAAATTATCATTAACAAATAAATAAATAAACAATCACAATAAATTAAATAATTCAATTGAGTAAATACTAAACATTTCACAATAATAAATATAAATAAAATTTCTTTCCATACATTAATTCTGACAATAGTTATAAATTAGGTACTTAATTTCATAATTAAATGTATTTATTTAGTAAATGTCTTTTTCATGTATAGACCCCTCTCGGTTAAAAGCCTCCTCCAAAGTAGTCCTGCATAGAGCTCTCCGTTGGAGATTATGCTTGTATGATTGCAAAGGGTTTCTTTTCAAATTTAGTTTCCAATATATAATTTATTTCTGATATGCCTACAAAGTTTATAATTTTATCTTTGTGTTCTTTTGATTTGTTGTAGGAAATGCTGCTTTTAATTGTAGAAGTTTTTCTGGTGAAGATATGTATACCTTTGTTCATTGTATGTCTGTTTTTCTTTGGAGAGTTACGGTCGAACTCCCCCACAGTGACCGGCCGTACTGGGGGATAAAGATGAGGAGATTCCTACTGTGTTTACTACTATACTGTATCTTGCTGTGTTGTTTTTAGTTGTTCCGGGTTATCATTTGTGTGGTTGAAAGTTAATTTTCGTTTTTGTAATATAAAGTCTTTAATATTAGCAGGTTTGGTTTTCTTTGTATGTTGTTTATTTGTTAGTTTTTGTTTATAATTGAGGTAAGGCGTTTCTGGGAGATACAGGCAGACTTCTTTTATTTGAGTATTGGCGAGAAGTGTTCTTATTATTACCCACAATAATTAGTTTGTCATATTTAATGAAAGCTGTTTTGCCAAGGTCTTTATCTTTATCTTCAGTTGGGCTTGTAACTCCTTGCGTTTGTTTAAGACTATTTTTTCCTCTAGTTCATGATAGGATTTTTCACCTTCTTCTACTCCGAACATAACCAAGTTCTTGCGCCTAATATATATTTCTAAATTATTTATTGAGTTACTTTGTTCCTGGATTTTTTTCTCATGAACTTCAATTTTTATTTCTAAGTGTTTAAATTTCTCATTTAAGTATATTATTGTTGATTGTATTTTTAATGTCTTCTTTCATTTCTAACATTTCTGTTTTCTGCTGTCTTATTTCTTGTTGCATGTTTATTAACAACTTTTTTATGTCCTCAATCTTAAGTGTGAAGTTGGAAGTAGAAAAGCTGATTGAAAAAGAGCACCAATTATACCTAGTTGAATTGCAATTTTATACAGAGTATTAGTTTCTGAGGTTATAAACTTATGTTTTAATATTTTACGCTTTCACTTCACAAATTATTTTGTTTTATTGTCATCACACACAGAAAAGATGGTTTTGCACTGATAGTATCTATATGTTATGTTGGTCACTTTTGTATTTGTTTGGTGGGTGAATTTTTAAAAGCTCATTTGTTCTTCAACACATCAAGACTTCGTGATGTTTACATATTGCCCATAGGTTTTATCGATTAATTTGTAAAAATTTACCATTTTTCTTTAGATTATTTCCACTTAAATATTTTTAAACTTGATGTAAATACGATGTAGACAGTTGCACAGTGGCGCCTCCCACCCACCAGAAGTGACAATGCAAAAAATTGTGAAAATGCAAATGAAAATCGCATGAAAATTCGAAAACTCGCGTTTTCCCAGATATAAGATTAATCTAGATCGATTTATCGCCCCCGAAGCCCTTTGTATACTAAATTTCATGAAAATCGTTGGAGCCGTTTCCGAGATTCAGGTTATATATTGATGTCTGGGACATGGATGGGAACGCCTGTTTTCGAATTTTCATACGGTTTTCTCTTGCATTATTCCACGCAAAATATAATGTTCGATAATTTCGCACGGTCGGATATAAGCATCATGATCAAGCGGCCAAGGCGCAGAATTGAATAAGTGTCCAGTTTCGAATCCCGGTCAGATACAAAGGTTTAATTTATGTTTGTTTTTTTTCCAAGTTTTTAGTTTTTTTTTTTAAAGAAAATTGTACTTTGTAAACAAAAACTCCGAGCCAAGCTCGGTGGCCCAGGTACTACAGGACAATATTTAAGGTATAGGAAAATATTTAAGTTTGGATATTATAAGGATGCAAAATAACCGTAAATAAAATTATTTATCTATGTGTTCACTTTGTATTAATTTAATACGTAGCTAAGTTTCTTTAGACCCTCATAATTATATATGTAGTTGATGGTAGATTAATAAAATTATTATACTAGCGACTCACCCTCGGTCTGCTCGTGTTCGCCCTAAGTTACTAAAAAAATGGGGGGTGGGGGTAGGAGTGTAAACAATACTTTACGACGATATTCTCATACCTACCAAATATAAAAAAACATGAAAATCGGTCAAGCCGTTTCGGAAGAGAGCGACCACAAACACCGTGATACGAGATTTATATATATTAGATGAAAAAGACTGGTAAAATGTAAGAAAAGTGTCATAAGACAGATGCTAATTTAAACGTTTAATTTTTTTCAATCTATACTAATATTATAAAGAGGCCGAGTTTGTTTGAACGCGCTAAAAAAAAGTAGACTCTGTGCCTGATATAATATATTTATGTGAGAAAAGAATTTAAAATTAATACTGATTGTGTCTTGTAAAACTTTGATCTAACCGGTAACTGGTCTAACATTTCGTTAAAAATGAGACATTTTCAGTATCATTTCAATTTTTTTTTTCTATATAGAGCGCAGGATGGTAGCACTGTAATTTTTAATTATATTATGACATAAGAACATTAAAATTAATTTTTAAAAAAAGGTGCTTCTTATATGCCCTGTATATATAAAAAAAAGTTGAAATAACACTAAAAATGTCTCATTTTGAACGAAAATCTTAGTTAGACCAATATTTAGTGTCTCACAACTCACAAGTAGTATTAATTGTAGTTTTTTTTTCTCTCATACGAGTACATATATTATCATATCTCTATATATCAGTATATGAAAAGAAATAATCAAACCGTATGACATAATAATTTTGTTATTCTGATGCGGAAATGAAGCCTTATCGATACCCTTCCTTTCAATATAATTTACAGTAGTAGTACATTAGATCGACTGCCTCGGTGGTGTAGTGGCTAGCATGTCGGCTGCACACCCGGAGGTCCTGGGTTCGAGTCCCGGGTCGGGCCAAGTTTAGTTACTGAGTCTTCCTGTATAGTAAGTCTGAGTAACAGCCCGGAGTTGGGAAGCTGGCGGTGTGTCACGCCCGTGCCGAGGCAGAGCACGTAAAACCATCGGTCCTGCGCCGACACTCTCACCGCGAGTGTCTCGCGTCGTCCGCCGGAGTATGAGAGTGACAGGAATAGAGAGCGCACTTATATCTGCACTATAATATCTCCTGCGCAGTTGGCTAGTGTCAATGAGATTGGCCGCCGTCGCCGGAATCGGTCAGGAGATCATCATCACATTAGAAAAATATACTTTATCAGAAAAAAAAGTAACGGCATAACTATCATACAGCCTTTGCTTAAATAAAAAAAACGTATGTACTTATGTACGCACGTAAGAAGTTATACTTCTTTGGCGTAACAGAACAAAAATAGTTAAAGATTTCATCCCGTATGTCACAACTCTCTGTTTGTAAAAGAAATGCAGCTAACTTCATCATGTCGCTTTTTGGCTGTCGGTATGCGCGCGCATCGTAAAAATTTAACTCTCATAATTTATTACAAATGGGCCAAAAGAAGTATAACTCCAAAGAAAGAATTAAAAACAAATCAATTCAAAGTTAGATATATACCGTTTAGCCATAGACATCAACAACACATGTGGTATTTGTTTGTTTTTCCTCATACTCGGATTTAGAAGCTTTCTAGTTATACTCTTCAATTCGTGCCAACGCTTTTGTAGTAACACGAATGACCCGTCAAATCCACTGGAAAAAATATTATTATATGTATATAAATATATACGAATATTTGGTCATTTTAAATAAAACTATCTTTTCGGAAACAAACAGCTGTTTGTAACAACCATATATTGAAATTTGAGATATGTAAAGTCTTACTCTCTCCCGTGACCATGATTGCTGTAAAGCATTCGAAACGTCGGGAACCAAAAATCCAAATAAATCCGCGAAAAAATCCGAAAAAGATTATCTATATTTATATAAACGTAGGTATATAATAAAATTGTAAAAAAAGTGCCACTATATGATTTGTTGCTTTTTTTTTAATTTTAATATTAAAAACCAATTAGTTATCAATTAATAAAAAAAAACTGAGCTTAATTATTAAGTATTTTAGATTTTTGAATATTCTCAGTAATTAAAAAAAATCACCGAATGGATTTAAATTAGAGAAAGGGCCGACTATGAATTTAACCGACTAGCCGACTGGTCGATTGGAAAAAGGCCGACTAGTCGGATCCTGCATCTAAGTTATATTGCTTTTAATAATGAATAAAAAGTGTTTGAAGCTGTAATTCAAAAATAAATAATAAAGAAGAGATCACGTAATGATTGTTATCTGTTTAGAGTTATAGAAAATTACGTAAAAAAATCATTTTTTTGTTAATCTTAGTCATACAAGTACTAGCTCTTCTATCCCTTACTTCGTTCCTATTCCTAGATTATATTGCCAATTGTAGTAAGTAAACTTAATACTAAAGTATAAATTATATTTATAACTAGCATTGCCCGCGGCTCCGCCCGCGTTCAGATGACCAAAAATCAGATTCTTAGGTTTTACATATTAGTTTACTGTCTTACATTGCAGTTTTTGTATTTTTTCTCAGAAATGAAATATTTTCCCGCGGTAAAAAGTATTCTATATATTGACCCGGATAACCAGTTATCATCATACCAAATTTCATCAAAATCCCTCCGGTGGTTTTTCTGTGATGCGGTAACAGACAGACAGACAGACAAAAATTCTAAAAACTATAGATTCGGCCTCTGTATCGAAAATAATGTTTATTTCAATAAGATTTTCCAAAAAAAAACTTAATGTACAGATTCGGCTTAGTTACAATTTTATTATATGTATAGATCATGGAATTTCATTTTAATCACCCTATTTCAAGAATAGTAATATGAATAAAGTAATGGCCCGGCTGGTCGGTGCTTTTTGCCGACTAGTCACCGTATGTATAGCCGGATAGTTGGATTTCTCGACTAATCGGCCACCAGTCGGTACTCGATACATCTCTAATTTAAATTGTTTTTTTTTTGTTTATGTTCAAACTTTTAATTATCAAAAAAAAAAAGAAAAACACACATGAGCTTTAACATTTATGAAATTCGCATTTACATTAAACGTTTGTGAAATTCGCATTTACATTTAACATATATGAAATTCGCATTCAAATTGAACGTTTGGTTAATTCGCATTTACATTTAACATTTATAAAATCCGAATTTACATTTAACATTTATTAAATTCGCATTCACAATTAATATTTATGAAATTCGCATTTACAAAAGCGATATACTAACCGTCTACAATATTCTAAATAGACCAACGCCCATATTTCAAGTGTTTCTTGTGTATAATTTCTCTGTTTAAGATGACTTTCTACATTTTGTGTAATAAAAGTATCGTTACAATTTAATTTTTCATCATCATTTCCTTTAATATTTAAACACGATTGATATATTGTATTATCTGCCCCCGTTTGGGCGCCATTTTTATGTGTCACATAACTATCGTAGATTTCTTGCGCTGCGACCATTAGTTTGTATAATAACATCAGTACTTGTAGTTCCTGGTCGATTATGAAGGATATCTGTGAAATAAAATGTTTTAGATTAGACGACACGTTTGGCTCAGTTTGTGACCCTACTAGCTTCGAGTCCCGCTGGAAGCATTCATTTGTGTGATGAGCACGAATGTCTATATCCCAGTCGTGGGTGTTTATATTTATAACTAGCGGCTCGCTCTCGCTTCGCTTGGGTTCACCTCTACACAAGCAACAAAAAATCTATCCCACGGGAACCGTACGTTTCTTACGTACGTTATTCTGATGTAACTATATTACTGTAAAGTTTCATTAAAATCCAATCAGTAGTTTTTTTGTACTAAGCTGTATAAGTTACTATAATTTTTTAACTGTCCCACGGGAACTCTTTAATTTTCCGGGATGAAAAGTATCTAAAATGTTGACCGGGGATATAAGGTACCTACCATGTAAAATTTCATTTAAATCGGGTCAATAGTTTTAGAGATTAGCCCGTACAGACAGACAGAGAAACCAAAAAAAATGAAAAGATCTGGATTTGTTCTATTTCTCTTCTTACACCTCCCTGATGCGGTTTTTAGATTTTTTTTTCTATGTACAGACATTCGACCTCTACAGTTTTATTATATGTATAGATATGTATGTATTTAAAATTATATATGTGAAGTGTATCAACTATCTGGTATCCATAACACAAGCCTCGTAGCTTACCATGGAACTACGTCTAGTTCCATGGTACTGTGTTGTGTGTGCGCTGTGTGTGTGTTGTTGTGTGTGCTGTGTGTCTGTCCTAACATATTTATTTATTATAAATAAGCAAACCTTCTTTACGACTTGTATTTTCAAGTCGTACAATAAGCCAAGATCTAGAACTTTCTTCTCGAACTTCGTGATTTGTAATGACGGCGCCACATTTTTGGTGATATCGCCAGCCTCTAACAGGTAATCTAATTTTAAGACCGATTGTCGATACATTTTCTTCCTGTAAAAAACTTACATTATAAGTTTTTTGTGACGTAACATAATGGCGCATATTAATATACTATTGAAGTGAAAACTTTTAACTTCTATAGGCAGGTTTGTTTGTATGGGGAGTAAATTCATGTAAGTCGTCATCGAGATGGTCACGTGACGTGTTCACGCTAACACTCAGAGTGCCGATAGATGTCGAAACCAGATAAATGTAAAGAATATTAATTTACAAATTTTCATTTAAGATCAAACAATTAATTTGAATATCCACAAATAACAACTGTTTGTTTATAGTTTTAAGTTTTCACTTCTGTTGGCAGTCCTCATGACTGCTTTTTTACTAGAGAGTAAAAAAACATAGATTTTTCTTTATATGCAATACATACTAGCGACCAAATCTAATTCTATCTAATCTATACAAATAAATAAAATTAAAGTGTCTGCGCGTAATGTCAAAATAAGAGCTTTTTGCTAAATGCATATGAAAGGATATAATAAAGTGCTTAGGAGAAAAAAAAAAATTTAGAATGTTTGTCTGTTTGTTTTAGCTAATCTTCGGAACGGCTGGATCGATTTTAACAGGACTTTCACTGGCAGATAGCCGATGTTATCCTTATAACTTAAACTACTTTTATTTTAGATAAAATGGGTGCGTGTAACCTTTACGCGCGGTTGAACTAAAACTTATTTGGAAAATATCGCAATTATATTAAAATCATATATTTATATAATATCATTTAAGGAAAGAATATAATATTGTATATTTTTCAGACAAAAACAACGGTTACCATGGCAACGTGGCAATGTATTCTATCACATTCTCTCGCCGGCTTAATCCTATATATTTATGTGTTTGTCTCTTTCTCTTGTCACATTTTCGTTTCATCGAGTTTCAAATCACAACGATTCTAAAGAAGTTTCACTCCAAAAAGAAAGGTTCCGCGCAAAAAAATTATAATTAATCAATTTAATTTGTGAACAAAATTCGCGTACATATAAACGCACCCGAGCAAAGCGAGAGTAAATGCGGTCTTCCTATAAATGAAGCAGCACACATATTGTAATTAATAATTACTTTTTTTTTAAAATAAGAATAAATATCCTCCGTGATAATGTACGAAAAAAAAAAACTTACCATACATTATAAATCTTTTCGACTGACAACCCCAACGACACGGCATGGTTTCGCACAGTCTCCTTATCCATTATTAGCACACATCTCGACTCATACGACTTGTTATCTAACACACGGTTTACTGCACCTAGCAACTCGAAACAGAACAAACATCTCGCCATCTTTGGTCTCCTAGATTTTCGGATTCGCTGAAATATTTTTTAAAACTTTCTTAAGTTTACACGAATATTTGACATTTTAAATAAAACGATCCTTTTGTACTTTCTCGAGGATTTATTTTGATCGGTGGTTCCCGACGTTTCGAATGCTATACAGCAATCATGGTCACTAAGAGAGACTCTCCAGACAGTCTGTCTGTCAGAAAATAAACCGAAAAGATAGTTTTATTCGAAATGTTTTTTTTTTTTTATTAATATGATGCCTTTTGTTTTAATATTATGTACAAATAGCGCCTACTTTTAGTAAATTTTATTATAAACAGATGCCTATGTGTTAGGATAGGTTAGACTCCAGGTTTATTTGTGTCTTAAATTTCATCCAAATCCGTCCAGCATGAAAGAGTAACGAACATACATACATAAATGTATTTCATATTACTAGCGTGAGAAAGTATCGTTGTGGCGAGAACAGCGCCACCTTGTTGCGATTTTGAACAAAATGGATGACAATTAAATATACTCGTAGTTAAAGTGTGGTTTCCAACGTTTCGAATGCTTTACAGCAATAATTGTCAAGGGAGAAACTAAAATTTTTGACGTCTCCAATGGTGACTATAAAACAAAAATATATAATAAATAAAAAAAGAATGAAAGAAAAATGGCACCGGGCCATCTTACAAAACGTTATTTTAACAATTAAAAAGTAAAGCATTGAACAAATTTAATAGTTAATTTTAAATAGTTTCATTTATAATGTCTAATATTCGCATAAGTTTTACAATGCATTAAAATGTTTGAAAAAAATATAATCATATCATATCCGTAGCATCTTGGAATATTGCAGTTCAGTATGGAATCCAGGATATAAAATGTATTCAGACCGGATCGAGCGGATACAAAAACGTTTTCTGTATCAACTAACATATTTAAAAACAAAACTTTAAAAATATTCATTCATATAAATCTCGTCTCAAACATTTTAATATGTTACCATTAAAAGAAAGAACAAAAATAGGAGTTAAACTCTTTTGTGTAAATTAAAGGTTTAATTAATACCCCTGAATTACTGGAACGCTTGCATTTTTCAATACCCAGGGAACCAACTCGATTTCATAATCGCAAAACCTTCTTACCAGATACAAGAACCAACCTCGGTCAACATGGTCCTATCTATAGAATGGTATCCTTAGCAAATGCCCTAAGAAATGATATAGATATTTTTGGGGTGATTCCGTGTCTTCGTTAAAAAGAAAGATGTTTAAATATTACTTTATTCGTAGTAGCATAAAACAAAAGTAATTAAGTCGGATTGTGCTATATTTTCTGTTATATTTTGTTATAACACAATAATAGATTCAATTTAATTTAGCCTTGTTTAACAGTATATATTTTTATTGTTAATACTTAGTTCTGTTCATATGCATGTGATGTTCACATCTTAGAAGACATCATTTGTCTGATTGTATACTTTAGAATAATTATAATTAAACTTGTTTATTTCATCTGTTTGTCGGTTTTGTGAACTTATAAATAAATAAATATCTCACCTTAAATACTCCTTGCATTAGAGAGAAAGGCTTATCCAAAGATTGAACCCAACTCGGGCAAGTACTAAGCACGCCATAACGATTCTGATGTACACCTTTGCGTACTTTCTTGCATATCTAAAAAAAAGTATTCTTAAGTAAAAGAAAAACTTAATTCAATATAACTTAATTCAAAAAAATAAACTATTTGTATTTAATATAAAACACTCATTTTAGATATTCTCATCATTTTTGCAGTGATTTAAGTTTTGATTGTTTGTTGTTAACAAAATCAAAATAAAACTGACAAAATCAGAAATGATAGTGTTATTCAAAATGAGAATAAATATTAGCATTTTATGAAAATATTATTTTTTAGGTTGAATGCCTTGTGATTTGAACTACTCGTGAGTGTTGGTCGTACTGTTGAAGTTATGAGATCTTGGGATCAAAAATTGTCTCGAAATAGAGAGTTTTAATTATAAAATAATTATAACTCATAGGGCTTTTTAATTAATTTTGAAAAACATATGAAAATCGATTAACAATGGAGACAACGAAGATGTACATGTTTTACAATAGTTGTGAGTCTTGCCACAATATCTGCTACTGTATAATATTATGTTCCTTTGTCAACTTGTTCTCATATTTTTTAACTGACAACGCACACTCTTTTCACTCAGGTTCGTCCAATAGTTTGTATGGAATAGATAAACTATATTATATGACATATAGCCTATAGCCTTCCGCAATAAACACACTATCTAATGTAAAAAGAATTTTTCAAATCAGATTAGTAATTCCTGAGATTAGCATATTCAAACAAACAAACACACTTTGCCTCTTTATAATATTAGTATAGATTAACATTTTACACAGTAAGGTTTCATTTGCTATATAAAAACAAGATTAGATAGAAAGAATATCTAACACTTATATTGGTGTCATCTTTTAATTGGTGTTGGTAATTAACATGTCGATTAAAACTAGTTATGTGAATTATAACTCACCAGTCCCAAGCAAAAGTTCACAAGATGTTCTAGCAATTTGTACCCGGCTGTTTCATCTGCTAGATAAAAGGTTTTGGCCAGTTCGAGATAGGCATCTGTAACTTTTTTCTAAAAACAACATTATACCATTCAATTTATTTAGAGGTGGCAATATTGAACATTTATTATGATCAGTGAACTTAAAGCAAATTGTATTCTTACGTGGTAGTTTTGCGTAGGTATGTAAGTCTTTGAAGGATTTTTATTATATGCGGGTATGAAATATTTTACTGTTATTAGTATTTTGTTATTAGTATTTTATTCTTAGTATAGATGGAAATGATGTCATTCTATCATAAAAATGTTTGAAAAAAATATGTAGTACAAATTAGATTTGAGCAAGCGACATTGAAGGTTCCATTTCCACCTTTTGGAAATGAAAGTTTAAAACTACATATATGGTGAAAGATTTTGAATGAAATCTTTACTAAAAATGGTTACCTTGTGTTGAGCCTTCAATCTGACATTTTTTGTATTAATATCTCTTTTCAAAAGTATTTCATGTTTAGACACCTCCTTTGCAATTTTCTCATAGTATTCAAATTGCATGAAACCAGAATTTGATGTTAACATTTTATAGGTTATATTTTAGAAGTCCTTTAAATTTTAATAAGTATATAAATAAATGCTGAAAATCATCAAAGCAAACATTATTATTATTCGAACTTTTCAGTTTAAAGATTCAATGCAAAGACAAATAAGTAATATTATAAATTAAAAATAATGTTACAATAACAACAACAACCTTGTGATAATGAATGGTCATGATAAATTTGTTCATATAAAAATGACAGTTTTTTTTTTTTTTTTCACTTTGAGCAATTTGATAAGTTTTTCAAATCAATACACTGTAAATAAAAATGGAGCATTGATTCACTTTTGAGAAAAAATACTACAAATCAGATCATCTCAACTATTTGAAATTGATTTTGCTTTAAATTTTATAAGCCACACAATAAAAGAAGTCTCAAATGAGACTAGTTTTTCTCATGATGCTGAATTAAGCAGACAGACAAACAGAAGAAATGTTGACTGTTGTTGGTATATATGTTTAATATCTTCGGGCGGGAAGGTTTTGTTTTTGCAGGTTGCCCACTTCGGTGGGCGGTGTTTGGTTGTGTGGGGCTGCTCCGGGTACTTCTCTGTTCAGCAGAGTGGACTTGGGAGCAGCCTCACTTCGCAGGGTTGCAAGTCTTCCCATAATGGGGTCGTCCCGCTTGGGGCGGCCTCATGGTTGGTGGCTTCGGCCAACCGTCGGGGCGTCACGGTTGTATGCGAAAGCGGTCCCGTGGCGTCCCACATGGCGGCTGTGGGGAAAGTTGGGTTTTAGTGGGTATGCCGGTCTCATTAGCCGGAGAGTCTCCACATAACCACCCTGGGGGGAAGTCGGGTGGTATCCGTAATAGGATTTCCCAACTATAAAAAAAAAAAAAGAAAAAAAAAATATGTTTAATATCTGTAAGTAAATTTACAGTATTAAAATTTATTTCAAATTTAGTTATTGTTTGTATTAAGCTGGGGCTTACCCATAGAGTACATTGCTACATATATAAAGGCTTACCTAGGGTATACTTTAAGATGAATGGTGAGTCAAAATATATATAAAGAAATTTATGTTAACTAGGACTTATTTATGACATACGTAAATAAGCAGTTGAAATTAAGTATTTATTTTTCGCTTTTAATTTTCCATTTTAAACACATTAAACAACAAATCAATCTATATTTCATTTGACAACTGCTGGCAACAACTGACAACTTGACAATACTAATTTTACAACGTCAAATTAAAGCACAGCTAATATTGAGGAATTGAATTAAAGTGATGTCACCTAATTGATTAATTGGTATCGATTTTCAATGAATAAATAAGATATATCAACTTTTAGATCGTTTAATATTAAATATTTTATTTGGAAAGCATCAGAATATTCCATGTTGAAATTAAAGTTTATAACACTTTTTAATATGAAGATGTGATTTTATCGTAAGTGATGTGATATTATTATACCCAAATAAATATCTTAATCAAAATGACTAATGATCGATTGTTAAATGCCGGATCCACACGCTTGCCAAGCCTCGACGAGCCATTATAAACTCAAATATGTGAACAGGTCTTGTGGTTTTTCTTGTGTAGGTTTTCTTAAGTAAAGGAAGGGTAGGAAGTAAAGGGAGCCTGCGACAAGCACTTGTGATGCGTCACGCGTTTGTTGTTCTTAATAAATTTATTTATTTGATAAAAAAGTACTACGTATGGTCTACATAGATTTTTAATATTATCAAACATCTTAGCTACAAGACAGTGCTGCAGCAAATGAACTCTTAAGCTATAGGTATGTAACATGGACCTACATACGAACATAGATTTTTGCATTATGGAATTATTTGGACGCAGCTAATGATAAAGATAATATAAGGAACCATAATACAATAAACATTGTAAATACATAAAAAATAATATTAAAGAAGAAAGGTTTTCATTGCATTTTATTGGAATTAAAATTTGGTAACATAGTTAAAAATTGTTCATTATCTATAGAAGAATCAATAAAAGTGATATCTAAACATTTGCTATAATTCTTTTACATTTTAAAAACTAAAGTAAAAATACAACGGTAACTTATCTCCTTTATTACAATTAAAATTATAGCAGTTTTTAGCGTCTCACAATTAACCCGCCTTGACTCATTATAAATAATGCTTGTGAAGTTAACAATAATTATTATTATGAAATAAATATGTACACTTAAAGATAAAGGGAGAAGAAATAGAATTGCACTTAAAAATAATTATAATAAAAGTTGAATTTCATTTCATCGAAACAAAAATATAGTTTTCCAACAATATTTCATAATAATCTCAGTGTTTTTAATTTTTGCTAGTATTCTAAAAATCACTCACACACTACTCTAATAATAATAATCTACTACACATCTACTTTAATCGAATATATATTAAATTAATCTATCCATCGCATATTCGCATTCGCAGTACCACTTCTCTCGATATCATTTTTATAATCGTTTTCAGTAAATCGATACCTAAATCGATCTTGACTCGCGTTAATTTCTTCCAATTCTTGCAACTCACTTACCGAGAGTTCTTTAAACTTTTTCCCTTTTACCGAATCCGGTATAACTCGAACGAAGGCAGGATTTTCCGAGTTATTTTGCGATTGTCTACCGTTTATTTCATTAGCCATAGAGTCTAGAGCAAGATGAAGGCCGTTTTCCGGATTTCCGGGACGTTTATTGAGGAAACCATTATTTTTGAAATTGTCAGGATCAGATACATCGAAGCTTCTATTGTTGAATATTTGCAGGTTCGACAATTTGTTTTTCTTTTTCTTTTTTTGCATCTGTAAAAATAAAAAGCTTAATTACATGCGTTTTTACATGTGTTTTTATTAAGTTTAGGTAATTAGTAGTAGAGAGTTATGCACTATGATAAATAGCAAGTTTGTCTTGAAATTTTGAGGATCAGCTTAAATCTTTTACCTTTTACCCTCTCTCTTAGGGGGTTAATAAATGAAAACTTGTAATCAGTAGAATCCATAGAATGAATAGAATGTTTTATTGTAAAAATGTGACTCCTAATAGCACAAAAATTTACAAAATCTGACAAACAATAAAAATTCTAAAAAAAGATTTACATATACTTAAAAAATTAAATTATCGAATTCAAATCTTAGTTTTATCACAGTCTATAAAATATTTTATGTATACTGTGGTTTTATTTAACATGCGATTGGTCGTAAATGTGAATGAAATAAAAATAGCGCGAATCTTCTGCTCTCTTGGATTCTGGGAAACGGCGCGATCGCGTGATGTCGCGCGGGCTCGCGCGGGGCGCCGACGTTATAAGTACATGCTGTAAATGCGCGCGGAAATCGGAATCGGGATCGAGAATGCCATTTGCCTTTTTTTTATAATATTATTATTGCCTCGGAGCGCTTGCGCCGACCGGATCTGCAGTCTTGCTAGGCGTAGTACATGACTCGTAAAACAGTTCTCTTCAGAACTAGGTACTTCCTGTTTTATACAGACAATAAAATAGCCCTTTTTAGACTTGATTATCCGTGTTTCTTACGACACAAACAGCTCTTTTCAGAGTTAACTTTTCAGTGTTTCACGAGACGTCGAGTGTAGCAACAAGTTTGTTTTGTAAATATCATTATAAGTTGTGCTTTTTATAGAAATACATACTAAATAGTTTGGCCACCGCAGACATTAAGCTCTAAGTCATAGTAAAGAAATACAGTATACTATAGATTATATATATATAATCTGAATCTCGGAAACGGGTCCAACGATTTTCATGAAATTTAGAACACAAGGGGTTTTGGGGCGATAAATCGATCTAGATTAGTCTTATGTCTGGAAAAACACGTGTTTTCGAATTTTCATACAATTTTCTTTTGCATTATTCCACGCGCAAAATATTATGTTCGATAATTACGCACGCTCGGATATATAGCATCATTGTCAAGCGGCCAAGGCGCAAGATTCAATAAGTGTCCGGGTTCGAAATTCGATCGGATACAAAGGTGTAATTATATTAATTTTTTTTTGTATTTATTCAAGTTTTTTTTTTTAAAGAAAATTGTACTTTTGACCAAAAACTCCGAGCGAAGCTCGGTGGCCTAGGTACTAGATAATTAAAATAAAAAAACATAGTACTAGTTCCTGTTCCTTTTTTTTTTTTTTTTTTTTAACGTTGGGAAATGCATTTACGCACGACGTGTGGGACTCACCGACGTAATACAGCCAGTACTACCCATTAAAACCCAACAAAACCTTCCCCCGTCTTAATGGGGCGTCGCAGGATCGCTTACGCATTCAACTACGACGCCCCGACGGCAGGTCTGCCAAAGCAGACCACCACAACCATGGGGTTGCTCCACAGTCCACTCTGCTATCAGAGAAGTACCAGGAGCAACCCGCATGGTACACCGCCCCCCGAAGAGGGCCACCTCCCACCGCCCACCGAAGTGGGCAACCTCCCTGTGCGTTTCTTAGCTTCGCGCCCGGTTGGATTGCCGGGCACTACTGAGCCCCCCCACCACGACAAGGTGAACGCACGTTGGGGGGGACTAGTTCCTGTTCCTACCTCATGTAATTTATCAACGACAAGACTATGTCCAGTGTTTACTCCAACGTTGCCAACTTCTTCAATGCTACTTGATCTGTGATACGGTCGTAGTGCCGATACTGCACGTGATATTCCCACCTGAGACAAAAATAATATAATCGATTGTAGCTTCGATTTTATGCTTTTTTTTATTTGAGTAAGTCTAAAACCCACAGACATACGTCCGTGCCTTTTTTTGAGCATTTTTATATTTTGTTGTTATTTTCATTTTATTTATGATGGATTCGTGCGTGTTTAGTTTTAGAATCAAAAGATTTTGCGAACAAAAAAAAAAAGGAAAAAAGGAAAGCTGAACAAAACTCCTTTTTCTGTTAGGAATTTTATGTGCGCCGGTTGAATTGTAAGAAATAAATGATATCATGTTTCATTTAGTTTATTTGACAAAAATGTAGAGTGAGTTTTTATTTAACCAAAGCTTACAACACGCTTTATTTAATTGACCAATTGGCAGTTTCTATTTTTTCGTCTTCGAGAACTGATCGTACCTACATGTCTATGAATTATTTTTTGTATTCCACGGTACGGCCTATATAAACTAATAAAATTGCTCAAGTGCGAATCGGGCGGTAAGAGCGGTAAAGGATGGTTTCAAACACAGTTTTCTTTAAAGCAAGATTAAATCCCTATAAATTCGAAATGCTAAGCCATAGTTTCGTTTATTTAACCCGCTAAGTTTGGAATCTGGTTTTAGATCGTTACAAATTGTATACCTGTCCATGTCTAATCTTGTGTTCTGTCAGATCAGCCCCTAAAAGCTCTTCATATGGGTCCATTCTGATAGGCAGCACTAGATCGATGAGCCAAAGGAGACCCATAGTGACAACTACCCCCCATACCATGAGGCATAGCCCTGTCAGTGTTTGTACCCCAAGGAGGTACCAACCACCACCTGGAAAGAATTTACTTAGTATTTTCTGCAATTGATTTTGACATTATACCTACATGATATACTGAAATTATCTTTTCGAGTTTGGTATATTTATCTTTTCGAATGCTTTACAACCAACATGGTCACGGGATAATTTCTCGCTAAAAAGTAGTTTCAATTTTAAAATGTTAAATATTTGAGAAAATTTGGGAAGGTATTTATTTACATGGTATAGAGTAAGAGCTTTTTTTCTTCTATTAACTTAAACATACCAATTCATTACAGTTAATCAGATATATGGCATGGTCTATAACGATAAACTTCTTTCAAAATACCATTTTTTTATCATAATAAATAGTGACTGATCCTCGTTTCGTTCAGGTATGCTTCAGTTGGTACCTTTTGTATTCAAATTTTATACATATGTAGGTAGCGTCACATTTTGGCAAATTTTATAACTACCAATAGCTTTTCTGTTACTCCTTGCTCTGTTACTTTTCATTCAAATCCGTCCAGCCTGTTCAGATATACACACACACACACACATATAAATTTATAACAGCATGTACGTGAAAGTGATTTGTCTTGATTTTTTATCTATACAACTATCAAGTAAAAAGTAAGCGTGATTTTGACGTGAAGTTAGTAATAAAAAGCGAAAATCTGCTTTAATTCATGTATTTCATCAGGTCGTTTCTATAAAGTTCTTAGGAAATGCATGGCTTAGTGGGAAAGCTAACTACCTTTAAACAGTCCTGATCTGCCATTTGTAGTGTCCATAGGTATAGGATTGTCCGCGAAAAGACCAACTGCTATAACACCTGCAATTAATGATGAAAACTACGTAGAATGATGAAGACAAGAGGTAGATTGGTCGGTATGATAATCATATTAGGTTTATTTTAAAGTTAACAGTGTAACGAGATGTAAGTAAAAAACATCCATTAGTAAAATACTTTTCATAAACTTTTAAATATTATATAATCGATCTATAATTTCCATGACTTACCCCATAACCCACAAGCTCCATGGACGGCGGAGGCCCCCACTGGGTCGTCGACCTTCATCTTATCAAACAAAGGCGCAGCTATAGATGCAATGCCTGCTCCTATCATACCAATTACTAAAGACTCCCATGCACGATAAAGGAAACATCCAGCTGTAAATATGTATTAATAATTTATAATATGGACTATGACCTGATCCCCCTCGTATTGAAGGGAGGCCCACCCCCAGCAGTGGGACGTAAAAAAGGGCTGAACATTCATACATACAAATGTGATATACATAAGTTAGTGTTAATATTAATTTTAAATTAAAAATTTGTCAAGACCGAGTCTGAATTGAACACTGACGGTTTCGTACCATCAACTATTAAATTTCTGTTATGTTAACTTTTATTTGTAGGCCCAATATTTTCCGCTCCTTAATTTGAGAGCTCATCTACAATTTACGGATGCCATTCCTAATTATTTATTTTCATGTGATGATTACAGCTTGTTGAATTGTTCACATGATTCATCTGCTTTGCTCAACTCCATTTATAGTACCAATTGTCTTTGAGTAAAGTGATTGTAACATATGGACAGATGGACTGTTACTTTTTTAACTTTAAACCTTTCGACTACGGAAGATTAAATAGTGGGAAATTTGGGGCAAATTTTTTATTATTGCTAAAAAAATTGTTGATATTTCCCTCTTATAATTCAATACTAACCTATATATTTTTTTTAAATCATAAAATGAATGCAACTAACCAGTAATAGATACAAGCGACCCAAGAATACAGTTGATCAGATCCATCACTTCAGCACGACCTTTGTTCTTGATCAGTGTAAAGCTGAAAAAATATTATATTGTTTAATATAATATACATTAATTGTTTGAACATTTGGTTAGATTTTGCTTGTAGTGTTTCGGAGAACATGGAAATATTATGTATCATTCCTCTGTTCTTAAGTTTCACGTCCGCTGTTTTTCTCCCCCAGAGGACTGAAACTTTGTAAACTGAAAATTAGACAATATTTGATTAGAAGAATTCCATTCCGAATTTTGGTCACTATAACTTTAAAAATGGATTTTCGTACAAACTTCAAAAAAAATCATGATTAATCAGCGAGTGATTGGAAATTTGCTTATATATCTATATAGATTCGTTTCACAAATTTTAGGTTCAGTTTTTTTGCTCTCGTTACCTGGCTTTGTTTGATAAAGAACTAACCTATACCTAACCTAACCTAATAAAGAACCGTATGATTAGAACAATGATTAAATTAAACAATTTTAATGACAAGTTACGGCTCACTGCAAAACTTACAGCAATCCAAAACATCCTCCGCCAAAAGATCCCATCATAGTCATAACAGCAGCCCGAGCTGCATACTGCCATTTTGCTCCACTCACCTTGCAACAAAAATGTTTACAAAATTTAGACTAATATTATTAATGTGAAATTTTGTATGTATGTATGTGAACGCTTGTAATCTCTTCACGCATGTTACGGAACTCGAATTGTCGCATCAGCTTTGCTCTACAAACCTCGCGCGGCGACGACACGACAAGGTCAGGCGCAAGTGCAAGCGCAGCAGCCACCTACATTTCATCAATGCCAATGTCACAACTTCTTACAATAATGTAGTATAAAAGGCATTACTTGGCTGCATCTTCACTGATTTGATCTAACATCGATCGACAGTCATTTTAGTAGTAAGAACTTCTAGTTAATAAATTAATTTTAAGTTAATTTGCATTTCTTTGCATCCCCTGGCTGCCTCCAAAACATAACTCGCACAGCAGCTTTGGATGTTTAGCACACAGATAGATCATGTATGTTTTTTTTAACATCGGTAAATTCATTTACGTATACCACCTGAATACAAATAGGTGGCTATGTGGGACTTACCGGCCAATAATGCCGGTGCTACCCACCAAAACCCAACGGAACCAAAAGAGGAGCTAAGAAAAAGTCAATATTTTATCTGTTTGGTTACAATATATTAATTATTTAAAACAAAATCCTGATAAACTGGTGTCGCACTAATAATAATTATTACATTAAATTTATCGCCCTGCAGCACTTACAAATATTTTTTCAACGACAGCTATAGGACCTTACTCGCCAGCAGCGCCAACTGCTGCCACCAGAAACGTTAACCTTCATTGCATTCAGTGCTCAATTAGTAATTATTAGTCGGTGACTCCCAGAGGTCCGCTAATGCTCTTAGAACACCTTTGATACTACCAGCTATTCGCATATGATGCATCATGAAGACACCTTGATCCCGTATCATCGCATTGTTGCGACAAATGCAGTGTTACAGTAAAATAAATATTTGTGTTACAAGAAAAAAAAAGAAAAGAAGAGCTAAGTTAACCTAGGAAAGTGGACAACTACGTGATAATAAGAATAAAATCTACCACATATTTACATTTACAAATTGCCTCATTCAAAAACAATTACATACGTTAGCGTGTGCGACAAATTACTGCCATTTTGTTGTATTCATGAAATTTTAAAATGGCACCGTTTAGAAACAATCGAAATAAGTCTCATTGCAATGAGCCGATTTAAACTAATTGGTCTTCGCATTATGTATTCAGAATCATTTACTGTAACGACCTCTTTAGTGGTAATCTATTTGTTTGATAGAATCAGTATCAAAGACTGTTGAAATATTTTTCTGTAAGTAGCAGATAAAATTCATTGTTTTAGTTTCTTTATATTTATACTAGCAGAACCGCGGCTTCGCTCGCGCTAAAACTAAAAAAAAATCTCTAAAATGTACCTAGCCTGGGTTTCATACAAACTTTCATCGCCTATTTTACTCCCTTATAGGATGAATTTCGAAAAAATGCTAAAATACGTATTTATTTATTTGTACGAAACATTAATACGAAGAACATTAATACCAAGTTTCAAGTAATTCTGGTCAGAAATAAATTTTTGGATTGTATTATAACGTGTTTTCCCGTGGGAATGAGATAATCTACAGCGGTAAAATCACTCCTATGTCACTCTCCAGCTCTCCAACTATCTTCACACCAAAAATCACGCCTATCGGTCACTCCGTTTCGACGTGAAAGAAAGTCAAACAAACACACAAACAAACAAACACACTTTCACATTTATAATATTAGTATGGATATAGATTGTATTTAGCCCTTTTTAACGTCCCTTTATACGAAGGGGATCGTGCGGGCGGACTGTACATGTCTTTCGAAAACTTGCTAGGTTCTCTCAAACATGCAGGTTTCCTCACGATGTTTTCCTTCACCATAACACAAAAATTCATAATCATGTTGGAAATGTATAAGAATATCAGAGTTGCAAGACCCGGGATTCGAACCTGCTTCATTCGGTTTTACAAGCGAGCACTTTACCACTGTGCTACCACTGTCTTCTTGACACGTGTGACTTAAGGTTTCAAGGTTCATGCAGGCAGGCAGCGTCAGCTCTTGACAAATTTTATTACGAATTGGAGCCTATGTATTATTCCAGGTTTTATTTTATTTGTACACAGATTTTATCCCAACCCTATCAATATTAATGTGATATTCATTCACAGACTGTACGAAATGAAGGTACTTTATATATTACAGCTTGCTTGTCACTTATCTGATTTTAATTAATCCCAACATATGTAATGTCCCAACATATTTAATTATTAGTTCCTGGGCGACTGAGCTTTGCTCTGCGTTTTTTGGAATAGATAAAAAAATGACGTTATTTCAGAAAAAAATGTAGATAACCTTAAAAAAGCATAAACTTATCTAAATACTCGTACATCAAAATCTTACTATCTATATTGTACTGCTGAAAGGATTTGGCAAAAGTAAATAAAACATCGTTTTATATAATAAGATTTAAAGTAATAAAAACTTACTCCATAGGTACTCCCAGAGTTAAAAGCCAGCCATCCCCACCATAAAACGAAAGTCCCCATCACAGCATTCACTGGGTTTCCCAAAGGTAACGGGGCTGTTCCTCGTGCATACCGTCCCAGGCGTGGCCCCAACATAAGAGCTGATGCAAATGCTGAAGCTCCTCCTAAGAAAGTTTTTAATGGCATCTTATTCAAAATATAACTAAAATGAGATTTTACAAATCAATTTCCATTTTCCATCGTGTCATTGGCGAAGTAAATTGTGTTAATTTGGAAAACCTGAATGCCTCTAACCACAATTGATATTTCTGGTATTTATTAACCTTTTGTTGAAAAATTAAATAGGATTCGGTTCGCGACCTTTGTATTTATACCGAAAACGTCATAATAAAAAAAATAGTTTTGTAATTACTCAAATGGTTGAAATAAAACTTAGATTTTAAGTCAGATATTGCTCGTAGCTGTCCAAATCAAAATAAAAAAATTATGGAATTCCTTCAGTAATTTTTAAATGATGCAAGTGAAAATGTTCAAATATATGAAAATTCTTGACAGTTGTCATAAAATGCGCGTGCGAAGCCTTTTTTTAAATTTATTAAATGCATTTACGCATATCACCTGTAGACATACAGGTGGTTATGTGGGGCTCACCGGCTAGAAAAGCCAGTACCACCCCCAAAAATCTTTCTTAGCTTCGCGCACGGCTGAACTACCGAACGCTACTGAGCTATCAAACACGTAACGTTGGGAAGGATAAACGCCTGCTTATTATCTTCTAACACCTAAACGATTTGACTTACGTTGATTCTTCATAGACATGATGAAGTTGTAGCCGATTTATTATTATTTTTTCTTTTTAAAGCCACTATTACTTACCTACCAGATGTACTGGTCCAGAACCAGCTATATCAACAGCTCCCATTTTATTTAGAAAGCCGTGTTTCCCCCACACCCAGCCCGCCGGCACACAGTACACTATTGTGTTGAGAAACGAGAACATGCAGTAGGCTTTGAAATTGCATCTGTTGAAGAAAAGATTTATATTTTTATAACAGCATAATTAAGTGCCCTGATTACTACTTTTTTTTCTCATTTTTATAATTGATCCTTTCAAGTTATCGGTAGATACAGATAAAGTATGGTATAGATGGAGTTTTATCTTTAGATACTTTTAAAAAGAAAATTTTAATGGGTAATAATTATGTAAATTATAAAAAAAAATTTAGTACGTCAGTTTTATATATCTTTGTAGAATTCTTAACAAAGTCAGTGATATTTGTTCTCACAGGTGAGTCAACAATGAATAAATATCATTAAATACTACACTCTTTCCGTTTTTGGCAACAAATCTTCTTCTGTATTTCTATCTTTTAATATTTTTTTAACAAAAATGTTTACTTAGGTTCTATTATGTAATTAATTTAAGTAATATTGAGTCAAATCCTCAACCTTTCCGCCATAGCGCCACTGACGATGGTAGTGGCAGTGGTAGCAAAAGACAGCTGGAACAGGAATGATGCTAACACGGGGCCCATCAGCGTGTCTCCCACCGGCGGGTCGACGAGGAAGTTACCCACTCCTATGAACGGATTAGATAATGGGCCGTCTCCAAATGACATACCGTAGCCAAATATCCAGTAAGTCAGACCTTGTTAGAAAAAAATATGATGTTAACTATTTTTACTACGCGCTAGCAGTTCCGAAGATTAGCGATAAGCGTTGGAAAAATCGAAACTTTAGTGCCATTTTTGAGCTCTATAATAGGATATACTAAATATTGAAAATCGATGTAAATTATCTTTATTAAAAGTTCAAATAAAAAAACATCTTCTTGAATTTTCTTACCACCAAGAGATATATCAGCGAGATTTTTCATCATAATGTTAGCTTCGTTCTTTATCGACACGCACCCTGACTCCAGCATCCCAAAACCTGAAATAAAATTATTTGTAAATAATATCATTGTGTTTTATTAAGATGAGTGGTATGAATTCTGAAATTATATATGTATAACTACTACTGCCCGCGGCTCCGCCCGCGTTCAGATGACCAAAAACCAAATTCTTAGGTTTTACATATTAGTACACATTGCAGTTTTTGTATTTTTTCTCAGAAATGAGATATTTTCCCACAATAAAAAGTATCCTATATATTGACCCGGATAACCAGCTATCACCATACCAAATTTCATCAAAATCCCTCCAGTGGTTTTCCTGTGATGCGGTAACAGGCAGACAGACAAAAATTCTAAAAACTATAGATTCGGCCTCTGTATCGATAATAATGTTTATTTTAATAAGTTTTTCCAAAAAATATCTAATGTACGTGTAAAACGTACCCCCAGCAAGCTCAGGCCTTCAGGTCTTCGCCCAGCAAGGTTAATATAATAAGGTTAGTGTGCAAAAACCTTCTTCAAACAAATCGGACTCGCTCATGACCAATTTTTAATAGAATAGATTATTGTTTACTATGGATTGGTCATACATTACATGAACCGTAACCATATAAATTGTTGCAGCATTACTCAATTTCAAGTTCACTACATTTTATTCTAATTTTATATTTTTACATTTTTGTTTTGTTGCTTGTAATTTTACTTTTATATTTTTGTTCAAGGTTTATTAATTTAACATTGTAACAATCGCATATTCAATCTATACGAATATTACTTATGGATCGAGATCCCGCTGCAAGATTGCTACGTTCATAGCGTATTTAATCTAAATCAATTATTTGTATACAATAATAAAAGGGACAATATGTTTTGACCGAGATGCCTATTAAAATGTGCCCGCTAGTATGTTTAATTAACTAAATAATATTTGACTTTTTGGAACAAAAACGATGCATTTGTTATTACAATGAATTATACTCCACTTCACAGAACTATATGTAGAGATCTTGAAAAATGATAGCTGCCGTTGCGCATTTGGCCGCAATCTCTTCGCAGCCAGATGTAAACGGATCATATTTTGGTACGTTTATACGTTAATAGCGTATATTCATCATTTATATATCAAATTAAAGCTATTTTTTTTCTGTACCTGATAAAATACCTCTCAACTATGTAAAAGTGGCCGCAATGGTCAAGGCCGCAAAAAGAAAAGAAGGAAAGAATATAATATTATATTTCATTTGTCTGACAATAACAACGGTTACCATGGCAAAGATAGATTAAAGTGCAAAAGTTAAGAAGCGAGGGTGAGTCGCTAGTATTTGATAAAAAATGTAAGTTTTCTCGGAAATCTCTCCTTCGTAGTCTTTTCCAATGCTTTTGATCTTATATTGATTACATATTTTTTCAAGAAACAATCTAGGGTAGATTTTTGCAGAAATTGGTGATATATTTTAACTAAAGTGACTTTAAACACATTATCTATTTAGGTAATAAGTAAAGATGAAAAAGAGAAGGTTCAATTTGACAATGACTGCATCAGGTCTTAAACTTATGCTCGTCCGGTCATCTGTTCGTATGTTACCTACATTAACAAATTCGTCCAGTCATTTGTTATGCCATATCAAGAACCTATATAGGAAGTTAGCAGAACCTCGCGCTAAAACTAAAAAAAAACTAAAAGGTCGGTATCATACAAAGTTTCATCCCCTATTTTACTCCTTTAACGGGATGAATTTCGAAAAATGCTAAAATACGTATTTATTTAATTGCACTAAAGAGCATTAATACCAAGTTTGAAGTAATTTTGATCATAAGTATTTTTCTAGGTTGTGTAATAATGTGTTTTCCCATAGCAATGGGATAATGTCCCGTAAAAAGTAGCCTATGTCACACTCCAGCCCTCCAACTACCTCCACACAGGTGGCGAGGTTCAAATCTCGGTCACATAGAAAGTTATTACTTTAATTTTTTTTTAATTTATTCGAGTTTTTAGTTTTAAAAAAAAAAAGAAAATTGTACTTTAGACTAAAAACTTCGAGCGAAGCTCGGTAGCCCAGGTACTTTGTTTTTATAGCGGCAATAGAAATACATACTCTGTTAAAATTTCAACTCACAACCTATTACGGTTTATGAGATACAGCCCTCTAACAGACGGACGGACGGGCAGCGGTGGCATAGTATTAGGGTTCACTTGGCATCCTTCATATGGAACCCTATAAAGAGGATGGGAAGGACGAATAGCTTAATACGACTCTTGACAAGAGTGGTTCTACATCAGCTATACTCAACCTGCGGCCCGCCGGGCCTTTGTTATTGGCCCATCTGAAGTTACATCTCAGATTTGGCTTCCGTTTCAAATTGTAATTACTCAGAGTTGTTTGATGAGTTTATCGATTTTGAAAACGATACCAATCTAGAAGTTCTGTTTAAAGAAAAAAGGGAAAACAGACCATGACTGAAACGTGTTTGTGGCCCTATAAAAAAAAGGTTAAGTATGGCTCTTCTAGATAAACAATGACAAAAGTAAGAGGCATTTGCCAACAAGCACACAGAGATTAGAGATATTATTAAGAATTAAAAAAATTAAAATAATTTTTTAAAATTTACTTTACATCCTGAATAAAAGCTAATTTATTTTAATTTTACGAAAACATTTTTTTTAAATTCATTGATCATCCATTTAATATACACATGTACATATTATGTATTATGTATGTATATGTATGTTTATAAACGGTGCTTAAACTACATTATCAAAAAAAAATATAAAACAGGAAATACCCTTTAATAAGTTAATCTTTTAAGGTTGTCCAAACACCTTGAACATCCGGTTTAAGATTACGACATGATGTGCAAAAGGAAAATAAAAAGCAACAAATATGCAATGTGAAGGTGATATTGTTACAGTAAAAATTACTTTGTTGTACGAGTTTTATTCGATTAATCTTGTACTAGTTTATTTACACGGTTTTACGCACGTTTTTCTGTTTAAGAAGATTTTATTAACTCAACGTTTTAGATTTCTCAGAGATGAGATATTTTTCTGCAGTAAAAAGTATCTAAGTATATGTTGACCCGGATGACCAGCTATCATCAAACTAAATTAAATTAAAATCTGTCCAGTGGTTTCCTTGTGATGCGTTTCCAGACAAACGGACAAAAGTTAAAAAAAACGATAAATTTAGTGTCTGTATCGATAATAATGACTATTTTAATAAGATTTTCCAAAAATATTTATTGTACAGATTCGACTCAGAATTTTACTATACGAGTATATATAGATATATGAGACAGGATAGGATTTTTCTACATAGGATCATTGTTTATCTGTCTGGTACAGTTTATTTTCCCGAATTTATTATATGGAAAATATTGGGTTTAGAGTTGGTGAACAGTCACGGATATGAGAACGGAAATGAGATGTAGATTAGGAAAATAGTTTTAGGGTTTTATTATAACTAGCGGCTAACCCTTGCTTCGGGTACACCTGTAGAAAAACAAAAACAAACCTAGCTCACGGGAGCTGTACATTTTTCCGGGATAAAAAGTAGCTTGTGTGTTATTCTGACGTATGGTCTATATTATTGTAAAGTTTCATTAAAATCTATTCAGTAGTTTTTGCGTGAAAGAGTGACAAACAACCATACATCTATACATCCTTACAAACTTTAACATTTATAATTTTTAAATAGTAAATAGTATTAAATTAATAGGATTTACAATATGTGACTTATGCTTGATGATCTTAATGAAATTAAATTAAACGTATTAGGGTTGTGTCACTGACTGATAGCAAGATTAAAGACAATTAATTTCTAAGAAATAATCTTCAGTTAATCACAAACAGAAAAAGTCAATAATCTTTTGAAATATTTTTACATTAAATGCTAAATGGCATTTTCAAGTTTTCCTTGAAAATGAGGAAAATGTTGAAGATCTTAAAAAACAAACAAAGAAAACATTTATTAAGAACTTCTGAACACTTAATTTTAGTTTCTTAGGTAGTTTCAGAATAATCGTGAGTTCAAACTGGCTAGGACAAATATCTAGCTTTTTTTGTATTATTGAATTGGATTACAAACGTTGTCTTTAAATCTAACGCGTGCAGAGAACGAAGAGACATTTTCTCCATAATAATCGCCTCTTAAAAACCTATATTTTAATACATCACTCGATTCGGATGAAAAAAAATTTTCAATACACACAAATAGGCGCGTAGGATCCGCAAGTTAAATTTTTAAAGATATCTATAATACGACACAAGACACTCGCATTATCAAGACGAATCGAATAACGTATAAATCATCAAAATCGGTTAAGCCGTTTAGTAATTACGAAGGAACATAGAATTGGACATACATACATATAAAGAGGTCAAACACATAACCCTCCTTTGGGCTTCGCAGTCGAGTAAATAAAAATAGCTTATAGGTAAGTCTTTACGTATAGTATAACACTCACCAGTTTGCATAGTGAATATAATGAAGGAAGATGTTAAGATCCAGTTGGTGTCTTCCAGGTCGATTTCAAAGTTTTCTTGCAAGCTGACGGTTGTGTTGGTTAAGTTTGGCGACCGGAGTCCCATGTGGTAGGTCCAGTTCGTATCCATTCTAGCTTATTTGTTTATCACTTTATCAGAAACGGCTTACTTTTTTAGTTATATTATAGTTTTATCGAAGTTTATAATTGCAATAAAACCAACTCCAATCTAGTTATTGACATAGTTTATAATACTAGTCTGTTTGTCCGTTGAAAATGTATTATAAATTATTTTTTTAATGTTTTTTGATATCAAGAGACATTGTTATAGCAATGTATTGTTTCATATCTTAATTCACAAGTTACTTTTTAATTTTATAACGTGAAACTATTAGTTTTTGAAGAAGACTTGCGTCATTTAGGATATGCCACACTAATTAAATTTCAATAAAAATGATAAAAATTGTGCCAGTTTTTTAATCAGTTTTAAGTATTTAAAATTATTTATAGATGTATATTTTAATGCACGCAGGTACATAGGGACTGTTCACAATGAAAAATTGTATGAAATGAAATTGATGCATTCGTTTGTGATGTTTTTATACCATTGTGGAGCGTGACGTCTTTTTCAGGGTTCAAATGATCGTATGTACACGTGTAAGTAAACACTAAGTGTGTTTTGCGGCTATACCTTTTATTTTTATTCAGCGTAATGTAAGGAAAATGGGGGTGTCGTGGTCAAAATTATATATGTAATTGCCATTGCACCCAACTTTTGATGAAGAATATGCTGGGTTTTGGTAGATTTTCGGTAATTTTGGTTTAGTTAAGCTATATTGGCTGAAAAATAAAGATGGAAGGAGAAACTTCCTTTCCTGGTTCCTTTTCTGGTCCATACGTGATGGAAAATCAGTTAAAAAGTCCGATTTAGCTCTTTTTAAGAAATAATACTAATCAACATACGAGTTTCATGGCCATGACATGCTGCAACGTTTAAGGTCAGGTTCGAGTAAAATAAATCTGTAAGTTTATAAGTTTTGAATAGTGAGTACAGTTTATTTAACTCCAAAACTAAATACTGATCCCATTTAGAAAATTCTTCCTTAAATACGTACATTACACTGGAATGTTAGGCTAGTGGCTATTAGTTATGTTTTTAGATCAATATGATATCTAGGTTTCAATATCGTGTCGGGTAAAAAATAATTATAGACGACACGTTAGGCTCAGTTTGTAATAACTCTACTTGCTGTGCCAGCGCTCGCGGGTTCGAGTCCCGCTGGAGGCATTCATTTGTGTGATGAACACGAATGTTTGTACTTCAGTCATGGGTGTTTATATTTATAATATGTATATATTTTAAGACATATATGTGTAGTGTATCGACTATCTGGTATCCATAACACGGGCCTCGTAGCTTACCATGGAACTAGATGGTGCTATGTGTTAATGTCCCTACATATCTTATCTTATTTTTGTCAAGAAATTGTCAGTAGCAGTCCAAAGTAGAAGGTTTTGCACTCTATCAGTCACCATGATGTGGGCCATTTCATCTGCTCCCTTTCTGTTGTGCTATAATGTCATCCCATCAATTTAAGACGTTTACTTGTACACTATAATATTCTGATATAATATACTGAAAACAAGTTAAGAGTGTACGAAGTTACTATTAACAAGCAGAACCCGCGGCTTCGCTTGCGCTAAAACTTTAATAAAGGTCTTTGGCTTTATGCTATTAGTGTATGAAAATCTGCTCGATTTGTTGACGTTTATGATTACTGCTTCTTTCCCTTGTAGCCCTTAGCATGATGATATATAGCCTACAGCCTTCCTCAATAAACGGGCTATCTAATGCAAAAATATTTTTTCTAATCGGATTGATGTTCCTGAGATTAGCGCGTTTAAACAAACAAACAAACTCTGTCTCTTTATAATATTAGTATAGATTTCTGTATACATAACCCAGTGACCTATTTATTCAATAGCCATCACTTTAACTATATTATTTGTTGTTATAATACATATTATTGAAAAATATTTAGTGGCTCGTAAATTTTCACACATTTTACAACGGCAAGGTCGCCATAATCTGTTACAAGATTGCTCAAATGAAATCGTGACACTGTTACATGTAAGGCAGTGGTAGCCCAGTGGAGACGCGCTTGCTTGGGAAATAATAATGCCCGATCTTACCAACATCCCATAAGCTACCACCTACGTATGGGATCTCTAGCTTAAAAGTTCCCCTAAACTAGCCCCTAAATTAAATTTTTTTTACCATCGTCAGAGCCCGTATTTCTAGTACCTATATTTAGGTGGCATTTTAACATTTAGGTGGCCCCCAACTGTCGGTGAAACAGAAACTGTCCCCTAACAGCCCCCTAACCAGGAGAAGCTAAGAGTGCCGTGGTGGTCGGAGGAATTGGCTGCGCTTAAGCACGACGTGGCCACTAAAAAGAGGAGGATACGGTGCGCGGCACCGATTCGGAGACCGAAGGTGGTAAATGAGTACCTGGAGGCGAAAACTAAATATGAGGCGGAGGAAAAGGAGGCTCAAACCAGATCTTGGAAGGACTTCTGTGGCAAACAAGACCGAGAAACTCTCTGGGGGGGAATCTACAGGGTACTAGGCAGGACGGCTAGACGTGAAGAGGACCCACCGCTTGTAGTAAACAACATGGAGCTGGATACCAAAAGCTCAGCTCGACTCATGGCTGAGACCTTCTACCCGGAGGACTTGGAAGAGCATGACTCAGACGAGCACCAACGGGTGAGGGCCCTGGCCGAGCTCATGAGCGGCGAGACCTCCACGGAGTACAGTGACCCTCCCTTCACTAAACTGGAGTTAAAGTTGGCGAGTCAATCATTTAACCCTAAAAAGGCACCAGGCGCGGACGGTTTTACGGCCGACATATGTCTGCACGCGATAAGTCAGAACTCCGACCTCTTTCTGAGTCTTTTCAACCGATGCCTGGCAATTCATCACTTTCCCAGGGCCTGGAAGGAGGCCACGGTGATCTTCCTACGAAAGCCGGGAAAAGACACCTACACGGCCCCGAAGTCATATCGTCCCATCGGCCTCCTACCAGTACTTGGGAAGATTCTGGAAAAGATGCTGGTAGCCAGAATGCAACACCACCTTGGACCCAAGCTCAGTACTCGTCAGTTTGGCTTTATGCCCCAACGAAGCACAGAAGACGCCCTCTATACCCTTATAAAGCACATCAAAAAGAATCTAGATAACAAAAAGATAGTTGCTCTTGTTTCACTGGATATTGAGGGCGCATTTGACAATGCTTGGTGGCCCAAAATTAAGGTCAGACTGGCTGAGGAAAAGTGCCCCACCAACATCAGACAGCTCCTCGATAGCTACCTGAGCGATAGGCACGTCACTGTGAGGTACTGTGGAGAGGAACACAGAAGACGAGCCGAGAAAGGATGTGTACAAGGATCCATCGGTGGACCCATTCTGTGGAATCTACTCTTGGATCCACTGCTCCGAGACCTGGAGGCCAGTGGTGTCTACGTACAAGCGTTCGCCGACGATGTGGTGTTGGTATTTGAAGCCGAAACAGCTATCGAGATTGAACGACGGGCCAACGCCGCGCTCGAGCGTGTGAAGACGTGGGGTGCAAACAATAAACTTCGCTTCGCGCCACACAAGACGAACGCTATGATAATAACGCGCAAGCTAAAATATGACACCCCACGTCTTCTCATGGACGGGGTCGACGTTGCCCTGTCGAATGAAATTAAATTGCTAGGGGTCATCATAGACCGAAAACTTACGTTCAACGCTCACGTTGCGAGCGTCTGCAGACGCGCGGTCGCCTTTTACCATCAGCTCGCGCGAGCAGCAAAGGCAAGTTGGGGACTCAATCCCGACATAATACGTATAATTTATAGGGCAGTAGTGGAGCCGGTGATTCTGTACGCCGCTAGTGTATGGGCACCTGCAGTCAATAAGCTAGGAATCCAGAAGCAGTTGAGAATAGTTCAAAGAGGTTTTGCGCAGAAGATTTGTAAGGCATACCGCACGGTGTCTCTGAGCTCTGCTCTACTGCTCTCTGGGATACTCCCTCTCGATCTCAGAATCCGTGAGGCAGCGGAATTGTACGAGGCCAGAAGGGGGGCCTGGGAAGAGATGGGAGATCGGGAGGTTGAAAAGATGTCCTCGGCTTTACAGTCTCCACACCCAGCCTGTCACATAGACCTCGAATATAAATGTCTGGAGGATCAGGAGCAACTCATGGCCAATAATAGACATGATTTTAACATTTTCACAGACGGCAGTAAGATTGAGGGCAAGGTGGGGGCAGCGTTATCCGTATGGAGAGGAGCAGCCGAAACCAAAACCCTCAAGCTTTCTTTGCCATCTTACTGCACCGTATACCAGGCGGAACTATTAGCGATAAGCCGAGCGGCGAGGATGGCGGCTGAACATCTAACGGGTACAATTGGGATTTATTCCGACTCTTTATCGGCATTACAGACTCTACAGAATCCTAAAGCCCTTCATCCCCTGGCCGTGGAGACGCGTGGTTTCCTGCGCGAAGCTCTGCTCCAGGGTAAGCAAATAAGCCTGTTCTGGATCAGAGCGCACGTAGGACTGGAGGGGAATGAACGAGCCGATCATCTAGCGAAAGAAGCGGCGCTGAAATTAAAGAGAAGATTCGACTACGATAGTTGTCCCGTCTCATTCGTCAAGCGAAACATTCGCATGCGCTCGATTGACGAATGGAACGAACGATATCGCAATGGTGAAACGGCTGCCATCACCAAGGCATTTTTCCCTGATGCGGCGGATGCTTACCGAGTGACCGGTAAAATAAAGGCAGATAAATTCGTCACTCAAGTCCTGACGGGACATGGCGGCTTCTCTGAGTACTTGCACCGATTCAAGTGCAAGGAGAGTCCGTCGTGCATCTGTGACCCTGAACAGTCCGAGTCTGTCCTACATGTCCTCCTCGATTGTCCAGTCCATTTGAGAGACAGACATAGAGTTGAGCAACGGCTAGGCCAAAATCTAACATTAGACAGTATAAGCCAAATCATGGGTGATCAAGACAATGAAAATAGAGAAGTATTCCTAGATTATTGTAAGCGAATATGCAAAATTGTAAATAAAAG